CCCATCCATAAAGTAATGCTTTTTGCAAAGTTAGATGTCTATTGATTCACCTTACAACTGCTACTTTTAGTACCTAGATCTCTGTGGAATGCTGATGAAGCTTGGATGATTATTTATTGTTTTCAGAGTTATATAGTATGGTCATTTATACATGTATTTCATTAAAATATTGATTACAGAATGTGTTTGATTTTTGTATACGAAATGTTGCTCGTAGCAATTAATGTCACAAGCATAAATCGAACCAGGATCCATAAATTAAAGGTCTTCAATTTATAAGCTGAAAACAAATCATGAACAAATATCACCCTTTTCTATAATTAATCAATTTGGAAGGAAAAGGAATGGAAAATGAACATTTATTGGTCACTGAAGTAATTGCACACATTGTTCCTGCAGTGGGATCTATTTCACCATGGTGCATCAGGCCCTTCAGTCCACCAAAACACTAAATTTAATCATCAAATTGGATAGGTTTACAGAATCCGATAAATACTCCACTCCACGGTTGTGTCAAAAAAATCAAGAGATATATATATAAATGTTATTGGTAAGGTAAATGTCCTTATGTGATTCGTCAACTTCAAAAGATTTGGACTCGGTACAATCTAGCTGTGTCTGGGATTGGTATTCTTTTATGTGCTGCCGTTTTCCTGCAGCACGGTGGAGAGAATAGTATTTGTTTATCGAATTCCCCATCACCAAAGATCAGTGGGAGGTCGTGGTCAGATGGCATGGCTACTATGATAAATTTATTTGTCTATACTTTTGGCAATATGACTAAGTTCAGTCTGCCATCTTACTGTCCTTAGCTGATGAGATGATTTATGAAGTCGCAGATGAAGAAAATGTCTCTATGGTTGACGCTTGAGAGTCTGTACAAGACAAACTCCTTAACGAACAAATTACTATTGAAGCAATGGTTATTCTCTTTACGAATGAAGAAGGTAATGTTCTTGTCTTCTTGAAGGACCATTTTGACGTGTTACTCCAAGTTGTCGCAAACCTTATGGAAACACTCTGGATAGCCAATAGTAGGTAAAACATCACTCTCATATGGTGATTTTAAAATGGTCTTAAAATATAGTTTTCATCCAAAAATGAGAGTTTAAGTCGTTAAAACATGTGCGGATATGCATTTGGTCCGAATTCAAATTTAGTTTAAAGCATAGCGAGGATATTACAATGGATCTCAAAACATAACTGAAAGTACGATATTACATCTATATCATCTTCTAAATAACCAAGCATCCTTCTTCATCTCTAACACGTCAAAATATAGCATAAGGCGTGAGAATGTCTCGTGAGAATACCCGAGTGCAACTCTTCAATAGTAAAGGATGATGACAGTCATCTATACTTGGAGTTGAACCTCCAAAATAGTTTAAATCAACAAAACATCCCAATACCCTTAAAGCGGGTTCAAGTAATATCATTGACTTTTGAAAACATATCAACATATTAGTTTCACAACATTAGTAGAAATGCAATGCCTATGATCCTAAACCCAATTTCCATGTCCATCCGACAATATACTACAAGGTTGTACGTCCACATAACATCGTATCGGTTATACAACCCTCCCTACATAACATGGTATCAGTCATACATGGCTTCGTGGCTAGTACAAAACCCACCATGTACAACCTTACCAACATAATAACATACTAGTTGACTTGTGGACCATTGCACATGCCCACTCAAAGGGTATCTAACCACTTTACGCATTGTGGTGATTAATATCCATAAATAAAACCACTCACAACGCATAATAATAGATTTTGGTACCTTGGAGTCACCTAGGGAAGGGATTTTTAACCGAAAACCAATCCGGAACCGGAAGCGAACCGGTTAGTAGTATTTGGTCGGTTCTCGGTTCTTAGTTTACGACTTATTCCACTTTTTTTTCGGTTTTAGTTATGGTCCGGTTCCGTTTCGAACGCTTTCTTAAATAGCACATTTCTTAGTACAACTGAACGATTGGTTAATGTATTCGATCCGGTTTTCGATTCTTAATTTATGTCTTATTTGGTTTGTGGGTTTTTCAGGTTCTGGTCCGATTTGTTCCATTTCCGGTCCGATGTGTTCCATTTGCGGTCCAGTATACATGCCTAGTGTCACTTCAAGCCCAACCTACCCTAATATGAAATGCACATATAGGATGCTCACAAAATACTTTTAGAAATCATTCAACACGGGTTAATTAGATATCTTTTCAAAATAGGCTTTCATGATGCAACAAGTACTATGCAACACATAGAATCAAGTTTAAGAAAAATGCCAAAGGGTTATATAGTATGTTTATAGTACATGTGCTTGAATAAATTCACCTTAGTTGTATAGACACTACCACTTCACTTGCACTACAATTCTTCTTACACCTCTTCACCTACAATACACATGTAGACACTTATTAACTTTCAAACTTCATACACAATGACTTTTTTTAATTTGTCATTGCTATAAACCATTTAAATCTTTATTCTTAATTAATCATATTATAATATCCCTCAGGGTGACACCAAGATACCCCGCCTTCAAACTACTAATAAACTATTAAAATATTTGAATACAACATTTTAATCTTCTAAGAATTTCTTTGTATTCAAATTAAACATTATTATTATTATTTATTTGATAAAAAATATCCCTAAAAGTAAAGTGTTACAATTACCTCCATCTTAGGACGATTCCGTCCTCGGAATCGCAAGATCTTGAAAAACTTGTGGGTATCTTTTCTTCATATCATAATTCGTTTCCCAAGTAAGATTTGCACCGATGCGAAGTCTCCATTCAACCGGTACAATATCTATCATCTTTCTTCTCAATTTCATAGTCTTTCCATCCACAATTTCCTTTGGTTCCTAAATGAGTCTTTTCTTCTAGTATCTACCTCATCACCCTTCAACTTCGTCAGGTAGCGTACGTGAAATACATTATGAATGTCTTCCAATTCTTATTGTAGCCACAACATATAATCTTGTTTCCATATCTTCTCTAGTAGATGGCATGAGAATGATATAGAGGCTCTCTTTTATAGTAGGGTTGAACGAAAAATTTGTCAAAATAAAAGATATGTATAAGAACATGATTCTTTCCCACCAAATCTCTCTAATTTTGGAGGAAAATTTTCAAGGACAATTATCCACCAAAATCCTTTCTTTCCTTCCCACTTCCTTAAACAAAAATAAGGAAAACCTTTTTTTTTATCTTCTTTTCTTTCTGTTTCGTTCAACTTCCGTTCCTTTGCGTCCTTAAGTGGAACTCCGTAACTAGGCTTTAAGGAGGAAAGAGAAGGAAACGAAGGATTGATAGGGGAAGAAAAGACTAATTTTTCATGAATCTTTCATATCGAGCCCATTTGGGGTGAATCTAAGGGAAAGGGAAGGTAATGAAAGACAACTTCCCTTTCTTTCCGTTCCTCTCCATTAGAAAAACTCGAGAACATGGCTTTAATCAAAATGGAATCAAGCTAGACATGCCATTATACCTACTACGTATGTGTGAGCCCTCCTCGGCAGCTATTCGACTTATGAAAGGCGCTTCGGGGTTCACCATTGGTCAACTCGGACCGATTGTTATTGGTGATACCCATTCTTATACCATGCGTAACTTCCTTATTTCAACATCCTAATTATTTTTGACCTGGGTACCTAATTGTATTAACCGCCTATTGGAACCAGGGTAATACTTAATCAGGTACATAAACTCGATTGCCAAAGAAAGTTCCATGTATCATTTCATATACATTTTATTACTCAACCTATTCATGTATCTACATTCTATACATAATATTGTTTTCATTTTAGTTCCAAAAGCTTATTTTTAACATTCTATTTGTTTTTGGTTTAACATTATGTGTGAGCATCAAGATTTCTGATTCCGAACCAAGGTTTTCCGTAGTTTTTTTCAAGTGGTACATCTCATAAAAACCCTTAACACTTCCATTTGACATAACTTTTCCATTTCAAGTCCAAAAAGCTAGGTTTTTTTTTTTTTTTTTTATTTTTTTTTATTTTTTATTTTTTATTTTTTTGCATTTCATTCTTAGTTGATCCATATAGGAACAACTAAATTACTTATACAGTGCACTAAAAACTGGATTTCATTGCCATTTCCTTGTAATTATTCACATGTTCACTTTTCTTCATTTCGCTAATAAGTTTCATGTATTAACCAAAACCCGCATTTTAAGCATTCTTACATTTTGCTTAATATTTACAACCTTAGTTTAAGGATTTAAATTCACATCCAAAAACCATTTCTTGTTTGCAAGTGTTCGTATGCCACATTCTATCTTGTTCCCCTTTTATGTACCTTGGCATTCCTATATGCCTCTTAAAATTTGGGGTGTTAAATACATGACCTACATAAGTGTATAATGTCAAAGGGAAGGAAAGTGTCCGGATTAATTAGAATCGTAAAGAGGTAAATGTTTAATTATGGAAAGTTGGCAACAACCGAATATTTTACTACTCGAATGCTTATAAAATAATAATAAACTAGATTATAACCCGCGTTAAACGCGGGGAGCATATAAAAAACATAGAATTGTAAACATATATTACATCATAGGAAGCATGACAATTAAAAGTAGATTACCATAGCTATTTTAAATTCATTAACATACATTACAATAGCTATTTTAATTTCATAACAATTAAAAGAATAAATAAAAAAAAGTAATAAATCATAGAATAATATAAAATATTAAAATAGTTCATTACAAAAAAAAAAACTATGTTCGAATGCAAATTAAAATATATATAATCACTACTATCTACTTGGCATAGTCACTGTATCAAAATCAGAACGGATTGAAAAAACTTGTTGAGAATGATGTGCCGGAACCACATACTCAATCGTATTTCCTTTAAAGAAATAGAGGGTATTGTTTCTATAATCCCACCATTCATGTGCACTTTCATTGTAAGTACTAACATCTACTTTAACCCACCGATTGTGAATGAAAATCCAAATAGCCCACGAACTATCTCCACTTATAGAGAGATATCCAATTTTCCGTGAAACTTGGTTAGTCTCGATGCATACGGTTTTAATTCATTAATAGTAGAAGGTGCAAATATGAGTATATGTTCTTCTGAATAAATATCAAATCGCAATATGGTATCATTAGATAATAAGAAGTATACGGCACCGCCACTTGTAACTGCCTCATCAGAAACAGGATAAACAGATGATGGTAACCGGATATTTTGAAACTCCCTCCATTGCCATGTAGTAGATGAAAACAATTCTATGTTGTAGTAATCATAGTCCACTTTTTCCTTAGGCATATCACTACAAATAAAATAACATATAAGTAAATCATAAAGTAAATTAATAACATAAAATGTACTACATATAAACTCTTACGATGGCTTTGTGTATGACAATCGAATGACCTTGAAATGTAACGGGTTCGAACTGATAACTACCAAAGCAAACTTTGTTGCAGTGTATTCAGAGGTCGGAAAAGGTATCCATTTGGCATCTGAAGTCGTTGGTTTGATAACAAATAAAATCTTTGAAACGTATTCATCTGGATCATAGGATTCAACAAGAAGGAGTCCACACAATGATGATGCTAAAATAGTACAAGTATGTGGTAGCCAATTAATGCCATGATTGTTGCTACCAGAAGACGGAAGAAACTGACGCTCTATATTTCTCCATGGTTTTTTTGTTGAACGATAATTCCACAAACCACATTATTTCTACGGTTGTAGTTATGAAGAACATAGTTGTTGTATGTTAGATTTCCATAATATGTATTTGTACAACGTACAGTAGCAAATGTTTGTAATGATGTTCGTGAAAGAATTTCAATAATTAGTTCAGAAGTCAATAACGATAACTGCAAAAGAAAGAAATAATAAGATAATAATATTAGAAAAACTTAAAATTTAATATTTGATGACATACGATTTTAATTGATAATAAGTATACTGTTTGTAGCATTGAGGGTAAAGAATTTTACCCGATCCATTTTCAATATTTTTTCCAATTCATCAATGATTGTATTGTTAGACGTGATCCTTGAGATAGCATAACCTTCTGTTTTGTTATTCAAATTGTCATGTGTAATTTGAATTTGAACGCCATCTTTTTTTCCAATAGTATATTTAGAGCAGATGGATAAATTTCATTATTACCAACCTCAAAAAAAAGAATGTTTATAAAAATAGATATACAAAATAATAATTTTGTTTTATGTAAATGAAGTTAATATGTATAACCTTATAGAACTCATGAACCAACTCTTGTGTGTTTTTTCTTATAAGCTTCTTTGTGTCAGAATCATATAAAGTAAGTGACACCGAACCGGTAATATCTTCCACTATAATGGTGATTTTAAAACTGAAAGCATTGATGTAAACATATTTAGTAATATAAATTTATATAATTTAACAGAACAATATAATAATATTTATAAAATAAGTTTCAAAACCTGGGAACAACAGAAATGACTTTGTTTATGCAGCTTGAAGTGTTACAATAAAAAACTTCTTTATCTTGAGACTGATCATGATGGATTAAAATTTGTTTCACGACTTTTTGTTGACATCTAATACAAGTATAACAGTACCATTCCCCTTCAGCACATACTTGCTTAATCGTACCGACAACAATTAAAGTTTTTTCCTAAAAAATATTAATGGAAGTTTAAATTTTAGTATAAAATAATAATAATCAAGGAATAAGATATAAATAATACAAAACCAATTTCTCATAATTTATATATTGTAAATGAAAGTGATTTATATATACCTGATGTACTTGTTGGAGATCAGCAATACTATTGAAATCAAAATTATGAAGGAAATCTTCATTTTCGGAGTAGATGATCGATGACGAAGAGTTGCTACAATTAGCAATTGTGGTTTGAGCCATTTATCTGGACAAAAAACAAATATTGTTTGAAGTTATATATATATATATATATATATATATATATATATATATATATATATATATATATATATATATAACCCGAACCTAAGATTGCAAAAATATATGAAGAAATATAGAAAATGAATTACCCTCCATGCAGGCTACGAAATATTAGTTTGAAAATGAGTCAAAAGCATTAATTGCGAATGTAAAATGATGGTAAATATTAAATTAACGATGCATTTTTTTTAAATTTTTTTATTTGATTTAAAGTTTTGTTAAATATAAAAATGATGAGACCTCCACATCTTTAAAATCGGATAACCGAAATTTTTTAATAGTAGACTTTTCATTTTAGATATACAAAAAAATTAATACAAAGTTACAAACACAAGTTCCTACAATTTAAAAAAAATACAATTCAAACACGTCAATTTAAAATTTAAAAACAAACATATATAAATATTTATATTTAATATGATATTAATGAATTAAAATTAAAAACGAAAATAACTTGTTTTTCATACGAATACATTATTAACCCTAGATATTTTAGGAACATTCACATATGTTTGTTATTTATCACTTAAAACTTACAACCTGATTCAATAATCAATAATACAGTGTATAAAGTGAAGACGATGAAGACAGAGTTTTCAAAAGAAAAAAACGTACCTGATCTTGAAGATCTAATTTTGAAGAGAAAAGAAGACGTGGAGAATAACAGAAAACAGTGAAATTGGCGAAGATGACGGCAACAATGGAGGACGGAGGTTCGGAGAGTAGTATGAACGGGTGCCAGTCAGGGACTCAGTGAGTCAGCAACAGGTGCAAGGCTAAGAAGATGGTGAAATCGGATACTTGGGAATGACAACTGAGAGGGATTGGTGAGGTATGTTCTAAAAGATCAAAATAATGAGTTTTTGTCCCTAATTTCCTAGATATTTATAATGATTCGTGATATATTTTTTCCTGATTTTCATAGTTTTTGTGAGATTTCTTTCCAATTTTTATAAAAAAAATCCTCCCTAATCTTGTACATTTTTATATTTGTTTATGATCTGTATGCATGATAGCACTAAAAATCAGCATCGTATCTTCAATTTTTGAAGAATAAATCTCGATTTTGTACTTGAGTATGATCACGATCGCAACATTTTCCCTCAAAATCCCTGAGTAATTTCCAATCAAATCGCTATAAAATCGTTTTCATGTGACAAATTACATAATCCATCCGCAAAAGCTTCAACGCAAGTTTGGATTTTGACCAGGGGCATCATAATAAGAATTTCTTGACATCTATCTTTGTGTGATAATGCATTTGCATCACTTATTTGCTTATTTTAAAATCCTTTAACAGTAATCATATCATCTTTATTAACCCTTATGAACTAATTCTATCAAAATATAAAAGAGCTTTGACTTACTTAAACAAAAAAATCTTTTTCTGCCAATTTTAATCCAAGTTTTTGACTATTATCTCGAGATGTATGCTTCCAACACTGCAATTTGACATCCAATGGGAAATCCGTGAGTGATCCATGATATGTACAAGAGCCATTATACATAAAATGGAAAAATTGGATTGTCTCAGTGGCTGCAGATACCAATGTATGCTTGTTAGGGAAGAAGAAAGAGATACAGTTGGCGATACACCTGTCAAATATCATGGAAAATGGGCACTCAGATGTATGATGTTCGGTGGAAATAAAGTAGGTTGTTATGTATCCAACATTTTTTTGGGGTTGTTTCTTTCTAAAGTATGATGTACTTACAGGGGTAGATTGGTCATTTTACAAATTTCATATTATAATGTGGCTAAGTTTTGTTTATTAACTTTAGGTGTTCAAACCAAGGGCACTTGTTGATCTTGCTGCAGCAGTGTCGTCTGCATTGTTAATGAATGAGCCTCAATGGGTGGGTATAATTGTCAAACCAATATTATTCCCTAAAAGGAGCTGCTTTACATATTGATACTGGTCCTGGATTGAGGATAGAAGAGTCATTTCCCATTGAAATGGAGAAATACGGATTAGAGGATAAAAAGAACGATAATGATTTTGTTAAGGAAATTACGAAATTAACCTTGAAGAATGGTAGCATAGAGTTGCCTGATTGGGCAAGTAATATAGAGAGTGTTTTATGGGTTCCAGTTCGTGCCATTAATGAAGGACTTGCAAGAGGAACATCTGCAGGTTCAGTTATTACTATTATTAGAATAAGTTACATTTCTGTTCCCTGTGTAAATGAGGAAGAACATCAATAAATGGAAGCTACCAAAGAGAAGAATAATAAATATTTTTGTAAAAAATGATAATGTAGCATAAAGTTACATTTCCATCCTTATACATGTTTCTTTCTCACCCTTTTGGCTTATACTACTGGAACCCATTTTCTCACGAGTTTGTTTTCATGTATGGTATATAATAGGGAGGACCAACCAGAAAAAAAGCTATGGTTAATTTAATTTGACATTCCAATCATTTCAGTTTTCAAGGGTGCTTGACATAGGTGTGGTTTTGCTTCAACCTAATTAAGTATTGATTAAATTCAATTATGTATTCTAATTAGATATATCTTTGTTTAGCTTCAAAGATCCTGTTTTTTTAAAAAGAATTACTAACATGTTGAAGTCTGATTATGTTGAAATTTAGAGCTAAAAATCGTGCCTTCATTAAATGACAACCATTGCACATAGAATTGTAGAAGTTCGGGCAATAGTTGAATCGGTGCATGATAAATCAGGGTTTGTGAAAGTTTTGTGTATTGTATGTTTCTTGATTCACTGTATTTTCTACATATTTCAATAATACCAATAATCCTGATTTTTTTATAATTATTCTTCAATATTTATATATATTTGTATTTTATTTATGCGTTCCCCTGCATTACCAATAATATGAATTTTAAATGTACGTTACCAATAATATGAATTTATTTACTTATAAGAAACAAAGGAAAATAATTGTTTATTCAATAAACAAAAAGCTGTCTTTTGCAGGTTTTAGACTTTGGACTGTTTCATATGTTTATTAAATTAACACATTTGATTTAAGGGTGTAAAACATATAAAGAAAACACAATCAAGGACCCCGATTATTTAAGATGATATCATAAAAAACGTACACAATAAAATTAAATATGATAAAGTAACATAAAGACACGTCGTTTTATTGATTATATTGATATGTCTAAATAAATAAAAAGAAATGTATGATTATCTATAATCGTTGAAGGACCTCCTTGTATACAACATTTTTTGTTTTATTGGTTTGACGACCTTCCTCATCACATATGAGTACCTTCAAGCCTTTTTTACTTGTCACGCGAGATACAGCTACATATAACTGACCATGAGTAAAGACGGGTCTACGTAAATACAATCCAACAGTTGATAATGACTGCCCTTGACTCTTGTTAATGGTCATGGCAAAACAAACAGCTACGGGAAATTGTCTCCGCTGAAAACGGAAGGGGATTCTTTTATCAGACGGAGTTAACTTCATGCGAGGTATATAAGTAGTCTCATTGAAGAATCTACCAGCTATAATGCGTGCCTCAATGACATGTTTTCCAAGCCTAACTATTTGTAACCTTGTACCATTGCATAGACCTTTGGTTTGGTCAATATTACGAAGCAACATGACCGGAACACCTGTTTTTAATGTGAGTTTATGGTTGGGAATTCCAGATGCCTTAAAAGCATTCAGTACATCCGGAGAGTAAACTGATTCCTCAAAACAATCTGCTGACTCTGTCTCACATAAAGAATCCGAACTCAGATAAGTTTTCCCTTCGTCTTTCATCAATCCTAACATGTAGTCATTGATAGCATCAACTTCTTCATTTGTAGGAACCAAAATAGCCTTATCTTGAAAATATGATGGGTCATCAAGATGGTTTTCAAAAGAAGGATAAATGGTCGATACAATTGAATGAATATGGTCACCTGTAGAGCGAATGATAACATCTTCTGGAAATTCAACTTCAGCTTCACCATCATTAGGACCACCAATATTACCTTCACCAATTTTAAGAATCCATTCTGCAAATGCTTTTGTCTCATCCAAATCATTAGTTCGACAACCAACCTGAAGCCTCATGTTTACCGTTAAACGTAAAACTGTACATTCACTCCATAATCTTGATGAATGTAACGATGCCTGCACAATATCCGAACGATTACCTCTTTGTATTACTGGAAGAATTTGTCTAAAGTCACCTCCAAATACAATGGTCTTGCCGCCAAACGCTTTATTCCTGTCAGATGAACGGATAATGTCTCTAAGTGTCCTATCAAATGCTTCAAAACAATGACGGTGCATCATCGGAGCTTCATCCCAAATGATAAGTCTCGCTTTGTTCAGTAGTGCAGCAAGATCACTGTCTGGCGCGATAGAACAAAATGAAATCTCGGTCAAGTTAATTGGGATAATAAATCTTGAATGCGCTGTCCTACCACCAGGGAGCAATAGTGCTGCAATTCCACTTGAAGCAACGTTGAGAACAATTTCACCTTTGGATCTAATAGCAGCAGACAAGGTCTTCCAAACAAATGTTTTTCCGGTTCCTCCGTAACCATAAAGGAAAAAGACACCACCTTGTTTGTTGTTAACCGCATTCATAATGGTGTGATAAACATTTTTTTGGTCGACATTTAATTTGGAATACAAATCTTGATGCTCAACTTCAATAATAGCAGGATCATAGTTAAGCTCATCTTGAATTAACATATTGCATGACTCTTGAATGTATCTATGATCAGGAAACGGCATATTTGGTATTTGCTTCAAACTCAATCCACAGCTCAATAATGATTTCTCGATGTATGACAACGTAAGGTTGAAAATTGCATCCTCTTTTAACTTCAGGCCTGAAAAAAAAATAAACAACGAAATTAAATATAGTTATAGCTATGTAAATGGCTTATGTTAAGACCTTTATAACGACTATAAATGATGTAATCGCGAGTTGCTTTTTTGTCAGTTTTACATGCATAATGTATAAATGATGGAAAACGAACAATTTTTTGTGAAAATGGCAAAAATAATTGTTGATTATGTTTTATGTCAAATATTTTCATAAAGGTCATTTTTAAGCAATATAGTTCCGTCCAAGGACCATTTGTATATGAACAATAATTGGGTTGTTTTGGAATCAAATTAAAATGTAGGGGAAAACGAAATTTTAGGGCAATTAATACAAATGCAATTCCTGACCATTTAAATATGACCTTTTGTTAATTAGTTTTTATCCGTTTTATTTAAAGTTGAAATTAATTGATTTTCTTTTCAAGAAGAAATTAATTAGTTTGAATAAAAAAAACTATAAATTAGTGTATTTACCTCTGACGCCGATTTCTTGTTCACGAACGTGAATGACATCATCAGAAAGACATTGATATGTCTCTTCAAAAACATGAGCAGGACTTGACAAACTATCAGATGTAATCAACATAACAAAGAGAGACCGGCAGAAAGAAGCTGTGGCCCAATGATGTGTTTCGTTTATTGACGAAATGTACTCTCTATCATCATCTAATAGACCAAGAGCATAGCAAGCATCTTTGTAAGAGTCATGTACAATTCCATTAATTGTCTTGATATCTTCATAGCATGTAGGACCCTTGATTTTGTTCAACAAAATCCGTAGGTAGTAAATGTCACCAGCCTTGGGAGAAACGTGGTTTAATCGACCGAGTGCCTTGGACTTGGTTTTTCTTTTTGTCCATATCTTATCTGATTTATTCCAAACATATTTAGTTGGGAATTCAACGTATGACAACTTCCGTGCATCTTCATCATGCTTGTTACATTCCATCCAAGCTAAAAATTGAGAAGCAGCGACAGTCGGTTTAGAAACAACCTGATTAAGATGTTGGTTTGGTTTAAAAACAACAGGTTGTTTGTGTTCGAGGTGAAATGACAACCTTTCGACAGACGGTGTTCGATAATGAATATCATACCCAAAAAGCCTCCAACATGCCTCACATGCGGAAATATAACGACAGTTATAGAACTCACCAATTTCGTCATGGTCGTTATTTTCTATCTGTTTTTTTTTCTTTTTTGTTGGATCAACAATAGATGCTGTTATCCTATCCGGTCCTTTGTTAATATACTTAAAAAGATACTTTATCGATCCAACTTGGTTACACCACTCTAGATTCATGTGAGCTTGATATTGTTTCAGAAGGATCTTATTATATGGAACAACATTTATGAAAAATCAAGAAAAATGTCATAAACAACATTAAATGATAATTTGAGGTTAACATAGGAAGAACATAAGAAAACATATATAATGAGTAATATGTTTTTATAGATTACATTATCCGTTTAAAAATAAAATATTAGTACCATTTTAATTTAAGTTGTTTATTGATATTTATGTATTTAAACATATAATAATATATTTCATAAAAACAAAACAAATTTAAAGAATTAAAATTTAGTAAATCATTGAAAAGGATTTGTGTATACCTGTTGTCTAAAGAAACACCGTTTTTAAGGACATTATTTCCATCGTTACGTCTCCGGTAAATAGGATAACCATCTTCATCAATATATGTATGATCGGTATATTCCCTTGGAAATCGTTTTGAACATTTGCCTTTTTTCATACACGGCATAAATGGTTGATCGTTGCCACAAGGTCCGTGTATCATGTTATCACAAACAATCTGATACAAATCGGGTTCACTATCCTTGTCTGGCAATTCAGCACATATAACACGGTCTATGTCTTCGGGATTTGGAATTTTAGAATTTTTTTCCAAAAACAGACATACATGACAATATGGCAGGCCCTCTTTTGAAACTCAATCGTATATACAACTGTGTGAGCAAAGAAAGCAACCAGGGTTAAAAGATAAAATTATCGAAAAGTTATAATGTTAATGAGTAAAAAATATATAAGATTGATACCTCCACCGACTTCACCCAAAGTTTTTTCATCCTTCAATTGACTGATTAATGAATCAAATTTAATTTTGAAAATTCGTGTCAGAATATCTGGCCTGTCTTCCGGTTTAAGATTCTCGGCTTCAACAAATCTAATGACTTCTGGCCATTTAGGATTACATGTAAGGGTTAAAAAAAGATCTGGATAACCAAACCACTTAACCAGAGTCATCGCATCTAATTAGTTTTGTTGCATGTAACGGCTGCCGCCAGTAAAAGAAGATGGTATAATAATACGGTTTCCCATCAAAGAAGCATCTTCAATGCCATCTTCAGCTGCCTGGGCCAAGTTGCGATAAGGTGCCACGCGTAATGTTGGCTGGTTAAACCTAATATAACTAAGTCGTTCATTTTCAACCATTGTATACGAATCAACCAAAACTGTTGGAATAGTTTTCTTGAACGTAATATCAATGATATTTCATCGGTTCTCTGTTGTATACGATAAGCAAAAAACTCTCGCATGGTCAACCTTATTCGTCCATCAGATTCTGGATCTTCAACACCACGATGTAGTATATCGACTCGAAATCCATCTTCGGCATAAGGGAATAATAAAGGATATTGAAGTGCAAGATATTGAGGATGCAACTCATTAATACGTTGAAGTTGTCGACTTTGCGTTTCCAATACGATATCCCTTGAATCATACCCATCAATGTCACCTATAATGAGGGCAGCTACCTCATTTGTGGTAGGAAGATTATACTGCCTACCATCATTTTCTCTTGACCCAATCAATTTCAACCTAATACGCTCTGTTGGATTTGAACCAAAGCGATCACGTGCCATTCTAAATTGTTTAGCCAGTGGATTAATGAAATCCAATAAGCCCATCAACTCGTGAATAGTCCAGAACTCAAGAGAAAACGGATTTGCCATGGACTCATTAGATGTGGTCTTTTTCTTCTTATTAGACCTACAATAACATAATAAAAAAAATAATGGATATAAATTTTTTGTAGTAATATATATATATATATATATATATATATATATATATATATATATATATATATATATAACTAATGGAGTTATATAATATAGGGTATTCACACACTCGCATGATTTGAATCTGTTTTGAACCTCATGATCTGTATCATACATGTACAACTGGCAAAATCTTGGTGATTCACCCTCTTCGGGAAGTAAGCTGCCTGCAATATGATAATTTTGGCCATGCATTCGATAAACATAAGGACCACCTCCTGAGTTAACGGTGTGATCAATCTTTCCAGCCATAGATGTGAATGCGAACATCATATTGTATCGACGTATATTCTGTATAAAGTTTTGACTTTTTTCCGAAAGACCGCTATATAAATCAAGCAACAACTGAGGTGGGTGAATCAGACTGGGTAGTTCAACTTTTCCATTGTAACAACAAATGGAATAACATGTTTTCTTTAAATCCTTATTTCCTCGAATTGCTTCTCCCTGCCACACCTTAGCTTTACATACTGAGCAAACATATACAGCATCTCCAGAATCCAAATAATCTATAAATAAATAAACAAATTTACGAAATTATATTTGTGGTATGCTTTAAATGTAATAGGGTAACGACATTTTATTTGTCATGACAAATAATTTATGGTGTGGATATAACACCTTTGCTTATTCCGATATATTTACTATGATTGTTACCGGTTACATCATTCTGAGCATTTGAAGTAGAAGGAATACATATTTGTGTCTTCTTTTTTGTAGAAATTGGTCTGCCTCTTTTTTTCTTTTCTTTATAGTTAACGCTGGTACCAACTGAAAAATGTGTAACTGTATGTATGAATAAAATATATAATAACACAACTGAATGATGAAGTTGATCATTATTAACAGATAAACGATCAAGTTGAACAATATGGGTACCTGAAGGTTCAACGAAATCTTCATTCAACTCAAAAAATGGAATATCTTGTGTATTAAATTGTTTCCGTTTCGTTGTTGTTGAATGAGTTGTGTTGTGCTGAATTGTATCTTGGTTGTTGGAAAAGTCTGGAGGTAATTCGGTAAACTTTTGAGCAACTCGACAATTAGGGGGTATGAAGAAACTATTTTCTGAAAAATGAAAATTTGTATGATAATTTAGCGAAATATATAAATAAAATATATGAATTTAATACACATAAGCAAATAAAAAAACAAAAAATGCAATACAAAAGAGACATAACATATAACAAAATGTACCTTTGTGAGAATTTCTTTGCATTGTCTGAGATGATGGTGTTTTCAAAGCATTCGATGAAGAGGGTGAATGAACTAAAGAGGAAAAGTATATATAAAACATTAAATTAAATAAGATATTAAAGGAAAAAGATAGTTACCCAAATTAGATATTATAGACCTATATGTATTAAAAAAGATAGTTATACAAATTAGATATTATAGACATATATGTATTAAAAATTAAATGTTAAAAGTTTATATATTGGGAAGTTAAAATTGACGTTATATGATTTAAGAAGTGGATGTAAATATAATATAAAAGAAATTAAGAATACTTTACCTTGATTGGTTAGCTGTGAAAGTGGCGATCTTGAGGAAATAAATGTGGATTGAACATTCGGTTGTATGATGTTATGAGACGGGTAGCCTTAGGTAATTCGGAAAGGTTTCGAGCAACTCGACAATTAGGTGGTATGAAAAAATTATTTTCTGAAATGAAGATTCGTATCATAAACGGAGGAGAAATATTAAAAAATATTAATAGTACAATAGATAAGCAAATATAAAAACGAAAGTGTAATATGAAAGATGCATAACATATAAGAAAATGTACCTTTGTGGGATATTGTTTGTAATGTTGAATGTGATGATGTTTTTAGAGCATTGGATGAAGATGATGCATTCACTAAGGAACAATGGTATGTATATCAAAAACTCAAAGGAAATATAAAGAGAAATGAGTTATACAAATTGAACATTATAAACATTTAAGCACTTCAAATATAAACAGAATGCTTAAATATGAATCTTACCATTTGTGATGTCAGACAGTGGTGTTGTTGGGGAAGTGTTGTTGGGTGAAACATTAGTAACAAACCTTGTAGGTTTTTTCTTTCCCGAAGCATTTGAAATGTCACTCATTTCAATACGTTTGATAATTTGTACGTTCTTGGTCATATCTCTGTATATATATATATATAGTGATGATGATGATTTCTAACACTTTAAATAAGGGAACTGGATATTTGAAGGGTTTAAATTTGGTAAAAAATAAATATTGCATATAATTAAATAAAGTAATGAAATATTAGTTGGGTTTAACTTAGGTAATAAATAAAGTCTTCATATAATTATGGAGGGAATAAATGCAGTATAGAAAATTGATTTTGATTACATATTCCATGATTTTATTCTGTTACCATATGAAAACGATGCATATTTATGCAAATAAAATTTAAATTTGACTTTAAAAAATAAAAGTAGGTGGAATATCATATATAATAAAAATATAAATTTTCGTGTATATATATATATATATATATATATATATATATATATATATATATATATATATATAGGTAACTGAATATTAGAAGGATTTGAATTAGGTAAAAAGTAAAGCATGCATATAATTATGGTAGGAATAAATAAAATATAGAAAATACATTTTGAATACTTACACTATGATTTTGTTTTGTTACCATATCTAAACGATGTATATTTATGCAAATAAAATTTAAATTCCATTTAGACAAATAAAAGTAGGTGAATTAGCATATATAAAAAAAAATTATTAATTTTCGTATGTGTGTCTGTGTGTGTGTGTGTATATATATATATATATATATATATATATATATATATATATATATATATATATATATATAATAAATTTATGAAATCAAATGATGAACGAAAGAAAAAAGAAAGAAAATATGCATTAAATCAAAAGAGTTCAATAACTTGAAATTGTCATAACCTCCAATTCTATCATTGTGTACACACCAAATAAAAACTCAATAAAATTTTAAAAACAACCAAAAGATCAATAAACAGACAATTGAAAATGCGACACACAAAAGATTAAAAAGAAAATGTCTATAAACATATCGAAGATGATATGTAAAATTTTGATGGGCGGCTTCATATTAGTCCAACTTTTCCAACTTTGGGATCTTCAAGGTATCCCGTACAGCACGAGTTTTTGAAGAAGACCACTCCAAAGAGTCAGTGTTGGCATCAATCTCAATAGGGCGCTTCCCCGTACTCGATGATGGTGTTACAGCTTCAAGGTCAACAACATCAAGATTGTCATCATGCACAGAATTAGTATTTTCCTGCAGAAAACAGAAAATAATAAATATCGATCAAGAAAAATATAAAACAAAACATAACATATTTGCACAAAGTCATGAAAAATGAAAGAAAAATATATTGAAGAGAGGGCACAGGGTTTGACTTTGGAAATATATGAGATAGTTACCAACCTTATTTGGCTTGTTAATAGGAGTACCATTATCATTTATATTATGATGTTGATGATTTGGTGACCGTTTTGTCACCTCAGCAAGAACCCTTTCATCATCAGTTAACTTATGCACAGTGTAAGCACGATAGTTGTTCTGCAGATTGAACATGGATATCTGAACTTTGAAGACAAACTTCTTATTTAGAAGAATTTTGAACTCATCAGGTATCTGTTGTCGCCCTTGATCCTAATTTACATTATAAAATGCTTGGAAAAGTTAAAGAAGAAAAATCATATATGTCAATCATTTAAATAACGGAGATATTTTATCAAACCTTAGCTATTTTTTCCATCAACCATTGGTTTCCACGATGAATAAGATCTTTTACATGACGCTCAAACAATACAAACGAAGAAGACCCACTTTCATCTTGCACACGAACTACTATCCTAATCCTAAAAATTATAACATAATACTTATATTTAGCTTGACATACACAATGAAATATATGAAAAAAGTAAAATACATGTATAGTCAAAGAGATAATAATTACTTACTTTCCAAATACATCTGAGACAAATCTACAACCATCACAGTGAAAAGGGCCAGCATCAACATCATCATCATTTTTAGTAACTTTTTTAGAACAATCACGGCAATAAAATGAATACCAACCATCATCCATATCAAAACCAATGATAGTAGCGATAATGGTTAAACCAACTTCCTGTTTCATATATAGGAAAAAAAAGGAATCATATTAAAATATTATTTCATATCAATTGTACATATAAAATCAAAACAATAATAGAGTGCGGAAACTGTTATATAAAAATGTTAAGTAAACCTCATTAAAATCAGGAATTTCATCAATGTTTTTTATCTGAAAACGGAGGTAGTAATCCTCTGGATTAGCCACAACAGTATCTGAGTTGAGCTGGGATGTACGGCTAGAAGACTCAACATTCGTATCCAAAGCATTAAGACTACATATACAAAAAAGTGAGGTTATTCAACAAAAGTAATGATTTAGTAAGATAAATGTGTTAACTATGGTAAATAACATACTTTGATTTGAACTCCAAAATCTGAGGCATATCATCATTTATATGCAATCTAGACCCAAACAAACAATTACCAACTTGAGGCTGACTTGCAACAAAAAAGTAAAATAATATTGTCAGTAATTACTTTGAAGTTGAAATGATAATTTGTTGTAAAAAATACTTACCACCCCAAATTTTGAGTTTGGCCAAACGTAGCAGGATAATAACAGGAGCAGTCTCATTATTATGTTGTGAAATGTAAGTATTCAGCTTCATTGCAAAACTGCCCCACAAAGCGACTGCAATTCTCGTACCACTAAATATGCATGGTGGTTATTAATGAAAGATAAATATAAACGGGGGAATGTGTAATAATAATACGAATGTGTACCTTAAATCCTGAGCAACCAGATTCATTAACCTTTTCTCTCTTCCATACTCAACAATGACTCGCATGGGATCAGTTGACACAACTTCACCTAGAAAATCTATGTGAAAAAATGTAATAAATTAGTAATAATAATCCAAATGTGTATTACATTAAAAATTGAAGTATAGAAATAAGTTAAACTAACAACATAACATACCAAATGCAACACGAGTGTCAAAGTTCCTGGCTAGCAAATCTGGGAAAGAGATAAAATGATAAGGATCTACTGTATCAACAAAATCAGTGGATACACGAACTTTTGTGGTTTTGTAGAAATTGATTTTATGTTTATGAGGAACAAGCATGTATTCGCTTTCATTGCTAGCCATAGCGAAGTTACTGATCTCCCGGACAGCTCCTTCATCGAATAGGGATTCAAATACAGGAATAAGATTTTTTTTTTATTGTTGCTTGAATTCTACTTCCCTGTAGGTGACAATGAAAGATAAAAAAGTGTAAAAAAAAGTATTAAAAAAAGGAACAATAAGAGATTTCATTACATAGACTAAAGTTTATTATTAAAAATAATAAAGTTGATTATTAAAATTGTATGAATAGAAGTAAAAAAGCATAACAAAAATCGAATTTAAATTTTTTTGAATAGAAATAACATAAGAATTTGATAATCTAAAAAATAAAGTGTGTAAAAACAGTACCTCCTGGTCAATTAAAATCATGTCCAGGCTTGCGACCATATTAGGATTGTTTATATAGGTCGGCTTCCAAAGCATGACGACTTTAACACGTATGTTCCAAGACTCTTTAGATGCGTTGATTTCAGCAACCTTATCAAAGACGACCTGATCTGCATTGTTAGCTGCCATGGAATACTATTATCTGCAATGGAAGGGGATAATTAGTTAGAGAGAATTTTGATTTGTAATGAAAAATCGTAGACAGTATATTTATAGGGAAAAATAAATTTGGTTAATGCTGATATCACATAAAGATTTTGGAATGTAATATCATTTCCATACTTAAGATATGTTTTATATATGGTATGATATCCAAAATAATATCAATATACCATGTCAAATATAAGTACAAAAATAGATAAAATCATACCATATTTAAGATAATAATTACCATATAAAAAACTGTAAATTTGAAAAGCTTGTAGAATAAGGAAATTATATAATAAATATATAATATTTTCATAAATATGGTATGATATCGAAAATAATATCAATATACCATGTCTAATATATTTACAAAATATAGGGAAATATAAATTTGGTTAATGCTGATATGACATAAAGATTCTGCAATGTAATATCATTTCCATACTTAAAAGATGTTTTATATATGGTATGATATCCAAAATAATATCAGTATACCATGTCAAATATAAGTACACAAATAGATAAAATCATACCATATTTAAGTTAATAATTACCATATAAAAAACTGTAAATTTGAAAAGCTTGTAGAATAAGGAAAAAATATAATAAATATATAATATTTTCATAAATATGGTATGATATCGAAAATAATATCAATATACCATGTGTAATATATTTACAAAATGCCCATTGTCATAGTTTGTAATTTTAAACTGAAACTTCGACAAAATTACTAAAATGCCCCTGATCGATTTTGGTGATATCAGACCGAAACTTTGCAAGAATTACTAAAACGCCCCTAATCGTATTTGGTGATTTCAGACTGAAACTTTGCCAAAGTTAATAAAATTCCCCTAATCACCTTTTGTAGGCTCCATGTTATTTTTATAGCACAATTTTGACCTGATGCCAAAATTGCCGCATTTTTGTCAATTTGACCTTTCCAAAAACTATCTCATTTTGACCAAAATGTGCTCGCTTTAGTCTATTTTACTTGATATACAAATGTCCATTTAACGGAAATACGTTGCTATAAATTGCTCTGAAAATGCTCTTTTCTGCACAATATTTACGTAATGCCAAAAGTTGCTATAAATTGCTCTTAAAACTATATCATTATGTATATGTGTTTTTGTATGGGTCTTTGTTAGTATTCATAATAATGCCCCTCATCGAATTTGGTGATTTCAGACTGAATGAATGATTATTTACCTGTAAAAGAAGATCATACAACCTTACAAGTTCTTCAGGTTTTGTAACTTTTTCATTTTTTTTTATCACATGGTGAGAAACGTCATTCATTTAATGGTGACCTCGTGGTGAGAAACGTCATTATTAAGAGGTGACCTAAGCCAACAATTTTGTATATACTTAAGATGACATTTTATTAAAACGTACTGTCAAGTACTAACTATAGAGTCATGGCACGCCATGACAAATTTTTTAGAACCTTGGTTTATGATGATTAGAGCGGCTTGATTAGTTTTGAAATCGTGAGATATTTAGGGAGGATGTTTATTAACCAAAAAAACTAAAATTTTATTTTCTATTTATTGAGCATGTTTATTTTTAGAATTTTGAGTTGATATTACATTATTACTTATTAGGATCTAGGAATTGCAAATTTTAGTTTTCAATTGCCATATTTAGTAGGGATTACCTGTTTCAGTTAACAATTGACAATTTTAATATTATTTGAGGTAAATAGCTAAATGTTATGTTATTGTTTATTTATTTATTAGGAAATTCCTATTTCCGTTATCTTATTATTATTTGTTATGAAATATGTAACTGTATAATAAGAAACTATTTAATTTATTAATATTTCCTCTTTTAAGTTTCAAGATTAAAGTAATCAAGGTCCAATTAAATAAAACTATAGGCAATTAGGCATGATGTCAAAAGGTTGGCCGAATCAAATAAATCAACTACACCTAAGGTCAATTAAGTAGTTACAGCATCTTAAATTGTCCTATTGAATAGAATAAATTAAGCTATAGCAACAATAACAGTATAGCTTTATAATCATATTTAATACATTACGTATTTATAAATTTAAAAAAATGGGTGGTAAAGTGTTGACAGACCATACATAACAGTTATCAATATTGAGACTCTTTGACATGTGTAATCTAATTTATCTTTTACTCTTTGCAATACTAACAAACAGTTGGTTGCGTTCAACGGTACGTTGCCCTAATACAGCACCTATAGCTGAAAGGGTAAATCGGGAAATCGAAGAATTAGACATACCCTCGGAAGCACTAAAGACTGATAAATGATAACTAACCTTTCAAAATGGAAACGCGAGTTTTGGCATTTGATATTGGAAATTTATGCCCTAGCCAATGAAATTCAGTCATGGATGCAGCTTGTTCAGATCTTGCTTCATCCATAACAACCTGTATTTATAAAAAAATGAAAAGAATGGAAGAAATAAGATTTGTGTGAAGTTAAAAAGGTATTCAAATTAATAGCATTACCTCGAATTTAGCTTTAAAAAGGTCAAGTGCAGGTCCAGTCTTACTAAGATGTGGGATCATGTCCACGCCAAACATAGTCTGTAATTGTCATGCCTTATGCAGCTGCACCTTTTCTGACAGCATCCACAACAACAGCAAGTGAAGCACCTATAATAAAAGTAAAAGATTTTCTTGTTTCTTTAAATTAATTTATCAAGTAGCATGAAAATGTTTCTTTAAATTCTTTAAATTCACAACAGCTGAAAAATAAAGGACGAATGGTTCAAGCATATAATCATTAGTACATGAGACAATTTAGAAATTAAATGCAGGAATATTATTGATCAGCTCCTTGAAACACATGCACTTATATTCTCAAATGCAGGACTACTATTGATTGGTTCTCCTCTTGTCTGACTCATGGTACACCTGTAGTAAAGGAAAGATGGAAAAAATCTATCAGAATGGTTACTTCAAATGCCAACAGAGGAAGGAAGACAATCTGCAGGCTTAAAGGTGGAGGCTTAGTAACTGCATAAAACAAAATTAGTATGGAATCATAACCGATATACATGGTATTATTTTCTAAACAGTTAATATAATAATATCATATGTTGTCATACCATGGCTATTTTCAAGATAGATGAAAAGAAGCAGTTCAAATGCAATAAGCAAAGGTGTGGCAACAACTGCATGACATGGTTCCCACTGCATAAAAGATAAAGAAAAAGTATTCCCTGATGCATAATGTAAGATATGGAAATGACACAGTTCATAAGGTTTATACAGATTGTTCATACTTATAGTCTTACATATTAAAGTGAATGAAAAATGATGATGAAAAGGAAGAAAAAGAAAGAGATAATACATCACGGACATGGGGAACTGATGGTGCAGGTAATGAGAATCTTCCTCTGGCAACAACAACATGAAATAGGAAAAGTGGGAAGAAAATGACCCTGCATACAACAATAAATCATAATCCACTATGCTTTCATTCTGCAATTCATGCATAAAGGATTGAAAAACCTTCGGCTTTAAGAAACAAAACTCTCTCTTTCAATCTAAAGTCGCATAAGAACTTTGGGTAAACATGTTTAGAGGGGATAATCTAGATAAAAATGGAGCCAAATCTCGAAGCAAACATAAGTACACAAAAACCCCAATAAGCCTTAATGATATGAATTCAGATACGTGAACAGAAAGTTCAGTAATCAGTACAAAGCTACAATCAGAGCTGATTTCTTAACTAAAGAGATACAATTTGAAGATAGGCTTTTCACTTTACAGGTCTGATTCATTACAAACGTCCATGAAATCACGCCATTATTATAAGTTTGTAAGCATCCATTATTGAAATCTATAGGGTTTGGGGGTTGATTTTGTTAGAGATATGGGACACAGCTGGACAGGAAAGATTCCAAAGCCTTGGTGTGGCATTTTATCGTGGTGCAGATTGTTGTGTTCTTGTGCATGATGTGAATGTGATGAAGTCATTTGAGAGTCTTAATAATTGGAAGGAAGACTTTCTGATCCAGAAAACTTTCCATTTGTTGTTTTGGGAAACAAGATCGATGTTGATGGGTGCAATAACAGAGTGGTAATATGGTCTTTTTGTCATTTTAAATTTAAATTCATCAAGATTCAACTTCCAATACACAAGTAACAAATGGAATGCGAAAACACATTTGTTTAATCTACTTTCTTGTTTTCAGGTGTCGGAGAAGAAAGCAAAAAGCATGGTGTGCTTCAAAAGGAAATATTCCTTACTTTGAAACATCTGCTAAAGAAGGGTTTAATGTTGAAGCTGCTAAAGAAGGGTTCAAAATGGAAACGCGGTTAGGGTTTTCAAAATCTTACCTGCATAAAGAACTCGATCTCCTAATCGAGCTTCAACATATTTCATCTGCATCTGAAGTAGAACACACAGGATCGAAAATTGTTGATGGTCGACGCGGTGCCCCTCAAGGCTTCCTGGGGTTACGCATAGGATCGATTCCATATCAGCAGAAGTAGAACGCATAGGATCGATTCCATGTATATATGAAATCAATGGGGTTACGCATATCGGCAGAAGGAAGGGGTTAGGGTTCGTATCTTTTGAGTTTCATGGGGAGCTGATTGTGTTGATTGTGTGGAGAGAAAACATAAGAATGAAATTAGGAATGAATCGTAAGAAGGAAGTTTTATTCGGGAGGCGCGTGTATTTTTTTGGGTCAGGATGATGTCAGCAAAATGATCCTAAGGTGTATAGTAAAGGAGGGAAATGCAATCAAGGGCCCTTGTTTCTTCATTGAAGAATTTAAGGTTTTGTTTTAGTAATATTTAGAGATGAGTAAGTAAATGATCAATGCCAATTTAGCAAGTGAGGTGCGGTTTTTCTCTTTTCTTTGGAATCTTGAACTTCTCCAAATTTGGTAGATCTATCCACCAGAATGGTTGGCGGTATAATCTTAGGCCTGCTTGACCGCCGTGCATCACTTTGTAAATCAAGCTCCTCGTTAGTTCTAGTTCATAGAAAAAAAATTGAATTTCTAACGAATGTAAAGTCAGTTGAAGCTTGAATTTTATGTTTTAATTGGTGAAATTTCGGTTTGGAAAAAAATTATTTTACCTGCTTTCCTAATTTATATTGGTGCTAGATATATTTTCTTGTGTACTGGCCCAAAATTTAATTGTTTTGGATTGGTCAATAATGTGCACTAGGAAATTAAGTTAAGGTGGATCTTTGAATTCTTATCTTCGAACCAAATAATAAGGATATAATTTATTTCATCGAATTACAGAAATTCTGTTTATATTTTCCACTTTTACTATCAATAACTAAAATTTATAACCTACGACTTTTTGCATCATGAAGAACCTACTATGTTTCATTTGTCAAATAAATAAACAAATATGCTTTCTATTAAACCCTCCTAAGGAAAGTCGCCAAGTCTCATCCCCACATTTTCATATCTTAAGACAGCTCAACTCTTATGTACAGATGAGAAGTTGAGCTAACTCTCCCAAATCTAAGAAATTCCTACCAACTCACGTACTTAACACTATTCCCAACATCCCACGTCCACTATATAAATCCAAACGAACACATATACCATTTCAAGCCATCTCGAATTAATTAACTTCTTAGTTTCTTATTTCAAATATCTACCTTTTGCAACACCATGGGACGTTCTCACCTAAATTCCATAATCCTGATTCTTGTTTCGGTCAGCTTAGCATCATTTAGCGGGAACATCATTGCTGAGGCACGTAAACTTGCAGAGATCCCTGAGCTTCCCGTGTTTCCAAAGCCTGAGCTTCCCGTGTTTCCGAAGCCTGAGCTTCCGGTGCTTCCTAAGCCTGAGCTTCCTGTCATTCCTAAGCCTGAGATTCCCGTACTTCCTAAACCTGAGCTTCCCGTGCTTCCAAAGCCTGAGCTTCCGGTGCTTCCTAAGCCTGAGCTTCCGGTCGTTCCTAAGCCTGAGCTTCCCGTGCTGCTTAAGCCTGAGGTTCCCGTGGTTCCAAAGCCTGAGATTCCTGTTCTTCCAAAGCCTGAGCTTCCCGTGCTTCCAAAGCCTGAGCTTCCTGAGGTTCCAAAACCTGATGTTCCTGTAGTTCCAAAGCCTGAGGTTCCTGAGTTTCCAAAGCCCACGTTTCCCGTCATTCCGAAGCCCACATTGCCAGAGTTGCCTAAGGATTTTCCTATCCCTTCCGTTACCCATCCATAAAGTAATGCTTTTTGCAAAGTTAGATGTCTATTGATTCACCTTACAACTGCTACTTTTAGTACCTAGATCTCTGTGGAATGCTGATGAAGCTTAGATGATTATTTATTTGTTTTCAGAGTTATATAGTATGGTCATTTATACATGTATTTCATTAAAATATTGATTACAGAATGTGTTTGATTTTTGTATACGAAATGTTGCTCGTAGCAATTAATGTCACAAGCATAAATCGAACCAGGATCCATAAATTAAAGGTCTTCAATTTATAAGCTGAAAACAAATCATGAACAAATATCACCCTTTTCTATAATTAATCAATTTGGAAGGAAAAGGAATGGAAAATGAACATTTATTGGTCACTGAAGTAATTGCACACATTGTTCCTGCAGTGGGATCTATTTCACCATGGTGCATCAGGCCCTTCAGTCCACCAAAACACTAAATTTAATCATCAAATTGGATAGGTTTACAGAATCCGATAAATACTCCACTCCACAGTTGTGTCAAAAAAATCAAGAGATATATATAAATGTTATTGGTAAGGTAAATGTCCTTATGTGATTCGTCAACTTCAAAAGACTTTGGACTCGGTACAATCTAGCTGTGTCTGGGATTGGTATTCTTTTATGTGCTGCCGTTTTCCTGCAGCACGGTGGAGAGAATAGTATTTGTTTATCGAATTCCCCATCACCAAAGATCAGTGGGAGGTCGTGGTCAGATGGCATGGCTGCTATGATAAATTTATTTGTCTATACTTTTGGCAATAACATTGACAAGATGCTCAAAACCGACCAAGAGGCATGTTTGGATCAGACTTCACCTAGCAATATGACTAAGTTCAGTCTGCCATCTTACTGTCCTTAGCTGATGAGATAATTTATGAAGTCGCAGATGAAGAAAATGTCTCTATGGTTGACGCTTGAGAGTCTGTACAAGACAAACTCCTTAACGAACAAATTACTATTGAAGCAACGGTTATTCTCTTTACGAATGAAGAAGGTAATGTTCTTGTCTTCTTGAAGGACCATTTTGACGTGTTACTCCAAGTTGTCGCAAACCTTATGGAAACACTCTGGATAGCCAATAGTAGGTAAAACATCACTCTCATATGGTGATTTTAAAATGGTCTTAAAATATAGTTTTCATCCAAAAATGAGAGTTTTAGTTTAAAGCATAGCGAGGATATTACAATGGATCTCAAAACATAACTGAAAGTACGATATTACATCTATATCATCTTCTAAATAACCAAGCATCCTTCTTCATCTCTAACACGTCAAAATATAGCATAAGGCGTGAGAATGTCTCGTGAGAATACCCGAGTGCAACTCTTCAATAGTAAAGGATGATGACAGTCATCTATACTTGGAGTTGAACCTCCAAAATAGTTTAAATCAACAAAACATCCCAATACCCTTAAAGCGGGTTCAAGTAATATCATTGACTTTTGAAAACATATCAACATATTAGTTTCACAACATTAGTAGAAATGCAATGCCTATGATCCTAAACCCAATTTCCATGTCCATCCGACAATATACTACAAGGTTGTACGTCCACATAACATCGTATCGGTTATACAACCCTCCCTACATAACATGGTATCAGTCATACATGGCTTCGTGGCTAGTACAAAACCCACCATGTACAACCTTACCAACATAATAACATACTAGTTGACTTGTGGACCATTGCACATGCCCACTCAAAGGGTATCTAACCACTTTACGCATTGTGGTGATTAATATCCATAAATAAAACCACTCACAACGCATAATAATAGATTTTGGTACCTTGGAGTCACCTAGGGAAGGGATTTTTAACCGAAAACCAATCCGGAACCGGAAGCGAACCGGTTAGTAGTATTTGGTCGGTTCTCGGTTCTTAGTTTACGACTTATTCCACTTTTTTTTCGGTTTTAGTTATGGTCCGGTTCCGTTTCGAACGCTTTCTTAAATAGCACATTTCTTAGTACAACTGAACGATTGGTTAATGTATTCGATCCGGTTTTCGATTCTTAATTTATGTCTTATTTGGTTTGTGGGTTTTTCAGGTTCTGGTCCGATTTGTTCCATTTCCGGTCCGATGTGTTCCATTTGCGGTCCAGTATACATGCCTAGTGTCACTTCAAGCCCAACCTACCCTAATATGAAATGCACATATAGGATGCTCACAAAATACTTTTAGAAATCATTCAACACGGGTTAATTAGATATCTTTTCAAAATAGGCTTTCATGATGCAACAAGTACTATGCAACACATAGAATCAAGTTTAAGAAAAATGCCAAAGGGTTATATAGTATGTTTATAGTACATGTGCTTGAATAAATTCACCTTAGTTGTATAGACACTACCACTTCACTTGCACTACAATTCTTCTTACACCTCTTCACCTACAATACACATGTAGACACTTATTAACTTTCAAACTTCATACACAATGACTTTTTTTAATTTGTCATTGCTATAAACCATTTAAATCTTTATTCTTAATTAATCATATTATAATATCCCTCAGGGTGACACCAAGATACCCCGCCTTCAAACTACTAATAAACTATTAAAATATTTGAATACAACATTTTAATCTTCTAAGAATTTCTTTGTATTCAAATTAAACATTATTATTATTATTTATTTGATAAAAAATATCCCTAAAAGTAAAGTGTTACAATTACCTCCATCTTAGGACGATTCCGTCCTCGGAATCGCAAGATCTTGAAAAACTTGTGGGTATCTTTTCTTCATATCATAATTCGTTTCCCAAGTAAGATTTGCACCGATGCGAAGTCTCCATTCAACCGGTACAATATCTATCATCTTTCTTCTCAATTTCATAGTCTTTCCATCCACAATTTCCTTTGGTTCCTAAATGAGTCTTTTCTTCTAGTATCTACCTCATCACCCTTCAACTTCGTCAGGTAGCGTACGTGAAATACATTATGAATGTCTTCCAGTTCTTATTGTAGCCACAACATATAATCTTGTTTCCATATCTTCTCTAGTAGATGGCATGAGAATGATATAGAGGCTCTCTTTTATAGTAGGGTTGAACGAAAAATTTGTCAAAATAAAAGATATGTATAAGAACATGATTCTTTCCCACCAAATCTCTCTAATTTTGGAGGAAAATTTTCAAGGACAATTATCCACCAAAATCCTTTCTTTCCTTCCCACTTCCTTAAACAAAAATAAGGAAAACCTTTTTTTTTATCTTCTTTTCTTTCTGTTTCGTTCAACTTCCGTTCCTTTGCGTCCTTAAGTGGAACTCCGTAACTAGGCTTTAAGGAGGAAAGAGAAGGAAACGAAGGATTGATAGGGGAAGAAAAGACTAATTTTTCATGAAATCTTTCATATCGAGCCCATTTGGGGTGAATCTAAGGGAAAGGGAAGGTAATGAAAGACAACTTCCCTTTCTTTCCGTTCCTCTCCATTAGAAAAACTCGAGAACATGGCTTTAATCAAAATGGAATCAAGCTAGACATGCCATTATACCTACTACGTATGTGTGAGCCCTCCCTCGGCAGCTATTCGACTTATGAAAGGCGCTTCGGGGTTCACCATTGGTCAACTCGGACCGATTGTTATTGGTGATACCCATTCTTATACCATGCGTAACTTCCTTATTTCAACACCCTAATTATTTTTGACCTGGGTACCTAATTGTATTAACCGCCTATTGGAACCAGGGTAATACTTAATCAGGTACATAAACTCGATTGCCAAAGAAAGTTCCATGTATCATTTCATATACATTTTATTACTCAACCTATTCATGTATCTACATTCTATACATAATATTGTTTTCATTTTAGTTCCAAAAGCTTATTTTTTAACATTCTATTTGTTTTTGGTTTAACATTATGTGTGAGCATCAAGATTTCTGATTCCGAACCAAGGTTTTCCGTAGTTTTTTTCAAGTGGTACATCTCATAAAAACCCTTAACACTTCCATTTGACATAACTTTTCCATTTCAAGTCCAAAAAGCTAGGTTTTTTTATTTTTTTTTTTTTTTTTTTTTTTTTTTTTTTATTTTTTTGCATTTCATTCTTAGTTGATCCATATAGGAACAACTAAATTACTTATACAGTGCACTAAAAACTGGATTTCATTGCCATTTCCTTGTAATTATTCACATGTTCACTTTTCTTCATTTCGCTAATAAGTTTCATGTATTAACCAAAACCCGCATTTTAAGCATTCTTACATTTTGCTTAATATTTACAACCTTAGTTTAAGGATTTAAATTCACATCCAAAAACCATTTCTTGTTTGCAAGTGTTCGTATGCCACATTCTATCTTGTTCCCCTTTTATGTACCTTGGCATTCCTATATGCCTCTTAAAATTTGGGGTGTTAAATACATGACCTACATAAGTGTATAATGTCAAAGGGAAGGAAAGTGTCCGGATTAATTAGAATCGTAAAGAGGTAAATGTTTAATTATGGAAAGTTGGCAACAACCGAATATTTTACTACTCGAATGCTTATAAAATAAATAATAAACTAGATTATAACCCGCGTTAAACGCGGGGAGCATATAAAAAACATAGAATTGTAAACATATATTACATCATAGGAAGCATGACAATTAAAAGTAGATTACCATAGCTATTTTAAATTCATTAACATACATTACAATAGCTATTTTAATTTCATAACAATTAAAAGAATAAATAAAAAAAAGTAATAAATCATAGAATAATATAAAATATTAAAATAGTTCATTACAAAAAAAAAAACTATGTTCGAATGCAAATTAAAATATATATAATCACTACTATCTACTTGGCATAGTCACTGTATCAAAATCAGAACGGATTGAAAAAACTTGTTGAGAATGATGTGCCGGAACCACATACTCAATCGTATTTCCTTTAAAGAAATAGAGGGTATTGTTTCTATAATCCCACCATTCATGTGCACTTTCATTGTAAGTACTAACATCTACTTTAACCCACCGATTGTGAATGAAAATCCAAATAGCCCACGAACTATCTCCACTTATAGAGAGATATTCCAATTTTCCGTGAAACTTGGTTAGTCTCGATGCATACGGTTTTAATTCATTAATAGTAGAAGGTGCAAATATGAGTATATGTTCTTCTGAATAAATATCAAATCGCAATATGGTATCATTAGATAATAAGAAGTATACGGCACCGCCACTTGTAACTGCCTCATCAGAAACAGGATAAACAGATGATGGTAACCGGATATTTTGAAACTCCCTCCATTGCCATGTAGTAGATGAAAACAATTCTATGTTGTAGTAATCATAGTCCACTTTTTCCTTAGGCATATCACTACAAATAAAATAACATATAAGTAAATCATAAAGTAAATTAATAACATAAAATGTACTACATATAAACTCTTACGATGGCTTTGTGTATGACAATCGAATGACCTTGAAATGTAACGGGTTCGAACTGATAACTACCAAAGCAAACTTTGTTGCAGTGTATTCAGAGGTCGGAAAAGGTATCCATTTGGCATCTGAAGTCGTTGGTTTGATAACAAATAAAATCTTTGAAACGTATTCATCTGGATCATAGGATTCAACAAGAAGGAGTCCACACAATGATGATGCTAAAATAGTACAAGTATGTGGTAGCCAATTAATGCCATGATTGTTGCTACCAGAAGACGGAAGAAACTGACGCTCTATATTTCTCCATGGTTTTTTTGTTGAACGATAATTCCACAAACCACATTATTTCTACGGTTGTAGTTATGAAGAACATAGTTGTTGTATGTTAGATTTCCATAATATGTATTTGTACAACGTACAGTAGCAAATGTTTGTAATGATGTTCGTGAAAGAATTTCAATAATTAGTTCAGAAGTCAATAACGATAACTGCAAAAGAAAGAAATAATAAGATAATAATATTAGAAAAACTTAAAATTTAATATTTGATGACATACGATTTTAATTGATAATAAGTATACTGTTTGTAGCATTGAGGGTAAAGAATTTTACCCGATCCATTTTCAATATTTTTTCCAATTCATCATTGATGTAAACATATTTAGTAATATAAATTTATATAATTTAACAGAACAATATAATAATATTTATAAAATAAGTTTCAAAACCTGGGAACAACAGAAATGACTTTGTTTATGCAGCTTGAAGTGTTACAATAAAAAACTTCTTTATCTTGAGACTGATCATGATGGATTAAAATTTGTTTCATGACTTTTTGTTGACATCTAATACAAGTATAACAGTACCATTCCCCTTCAGCACATACTTGCTTAATCGTACCGACAACAATTAAAGTTTTTTCCTAAAAAATATTAATGGAAGTTTAAATTTTAGTATAAAATAATAATAATCAAGGAATAAGATATAAATAATACAAAACCAATTTCTCATAATTTATATATTGTAAATGAAAGTGATTTATATATACCTGATGTACTTGTTGGAGATCAGCAATACTATTGAAATCAAAATTATGAAGGAAATCTTCATTTTCGGAGTAGATGATCGATGACGAAGAGTTGCTACAATTAGCAATTGTGATTTGAGCCATTTATCTGGACAAAAAACAAATATTGTTTGAAGTTATATATATATATATATATATATATATATATATATATATATATATATATATATATATATATATATATATATATAACCCGAACCTAAGATTGCAAAAATATATGAAGAAATATAGAAAATGAATTACCCTCCATGCAGGCTACGAAATATTAGTTTGAAAATGAGTCAAAAGCATTAATTGCGAATGTAAAATGATGGTAAATATTAAATTAACGATGCATTTTTTTAAATTTTTTTATTTGATTTAAAGTTTTGTTAAATATAAAAATGATGAGACCTCCACATCTTTAAAATCGGATAACCGAAATTTTTTAATAGTAGACTTTTCATTTTAGATATACAAAAAAATTAATACAAAGTTACAAACACAAGTTCCTACAATTTAAAAAAAATACAATTCAAACACGTCAATTTAAAATTTAAAAACAAACAACATATATAAATATTTATATTTAATATGATATTAATGAATTAAAATTAAAAACGAAAATAACTTGTTTTTCATACGAATACATTATTAACCCTAGATATTTTAGGAACATTCACATATGTTTGTTATTTATCACTTAAAACTTACAACCTGATTCAATAATCAATAATACAGTGTATAAAGTGAAGACGATGAAGACAGAGTTTTCAAAAGAAAAAAACGTACCTGATCTTGAAGATCTAATTTTGAAGAGAAAAGAAGACGTGGAGAATAACAGAAAACAGTGAAATTGGCGAAGATGACGGCAACAATGGAGGACGGAGGTTCGGAGAGTAGTATGAACGGGTGCCAGTCAGGGACTCAGTGAGTCAGCAACAGGTGCAAGGCTAAGAAGATGGTGAAATCGGATACTTGGGAATGACAACTGAGAGGGATTGGTGAGGTATGTTCTAAAAGATCAAAATAATGAGTTTTTGTCCCTAATTTCCTAGATATTTATAATTGATTCGTGATATATTTTTTCCTGATTTTCATAGTTTTTGTGAGATTTCTTTCCAATTTTTATAAAAAAAATCCTCCCTAATCTTGTACATTTTTATATTTGTTTATGATCTGTATGCATGATAGCACTAAAAATCAGCATCGTATCTTCAATTTTTTGAAGAATAAATCTCGATTTTGTACTTGAGTATGATCACGATCGCAACATTTTCCCTCAAAATCCCTGAGTAATTTCCAATCAAATCGCTATAAAATCGTTTTCATGTGACAAATTACATAATCCATCCGCAAAAGCTTCAACGCAAGTTTGGATTTTGACCAGGGGCATCATAATAAGAATTTCTTGACATCTATCTTTGTGTGATAATGCATTTGCATCACTTATTTGCTTATTTTAAAATCCTTTAACAGTAATCATATCATCTTTATTAACCCTTATGAACTAATTCTATCAAAATATAAAAGAGCTTTGACTTACTTAAACAAAAAAAAATCTTTTTCTGCCAATTTTAATCCAAGTTTTTGACTATTATCTCGAGATGTATGCTTCCAACACTGCAATTTGACATCCAATGGGAAATCCGTGAGTGATCCATGATATGTACAAGAGCCATTATACATAAAATGGAAAAATTGGATTGTCTCAGTGGCTGCAGATACCAATGTATGCTTGTTAGGGAAGAAGAAAGAGATACAGTTGGCGATACACCTGTCAAATATCATGGAAAATGGGCACTCAGATGTATGATGTTCGGTGGAAATAAAGTAGGTTGTTATGTATCCAACATTTTTTTGGGGTTGTTTCTTTCTAAAGTATGATGTACTAACAGGGGTAGATTGGTCATTTTACAAATTTCATATTATAATGTGGCTAAGTTTTGTTTATTAACTTTAGGTGTTCAAACCAAGGGCACTTGTTGATCTTGCTGCAGCAGTGTCGTCTGCATTGTTAATGAATGAGCCTCAATGGGTGGGTATAATTGGCAAACCAATAAATTATTCCCTAAAAGGAGCTGCTTTACATATTGATACTGGTCCTGGATTGAGGATAGAAGAGTCATTTCCCATTGAAATGGAGAAATACGGATTAGAGGATAAAAAGAACGATAATGATTTTGTTAAGGAAATTACGAAATTAACCTTGAAGAATGGTAGCATAGAGTTGCCTGATTGGGCAAGTAATATAGAGAGTGTTTTATGGGTTCCAGTTCGTGCCATTAATGAAGGACTTGCAAGAGGAACATCTGCAGGTTCAGTTATTACTATTATTAGAATAAGTTACATTTCTGTTCCCTGTGTAAATGAGGAAGAACATCAATAAATGGAAGCTACCAAAGAGAAGAATAATAAATATTTTTGTAAAAAATGATAATGTAGCATAAAGTTACATTTCCATCCTTATACATGTTTCTTTCTCACCCTTTTGGCTTATACTACTGTAACCCATTTTCTCACGAGTTTGTTTTCATGTATGGTATATAATAGGGAGGACCAACCAGAAAAAAAGCTATGGTTAATTTAATTTGACATTCCAATCATTTCAGTTTTCAAGGGTGCTTGACATAGGTGTGGTTTTGCTTCAACCTAATTAAGTATTGATTAAATTCAATTATGTATTCTAATTAGATATATCTTTGTTTAGCTTCAAAGATCCTGTTTTTTTAAAAAGAATTACTAACATGTTGAAGTCTGATTATGTTGAAATTTAGAGCTAAAAATCGTGCCTTCATTAAATGACAACCATTGCACATAGAATTGTAGAAGTTCGGGCAATAGTTGAATCGGTGCATGATAAATCAGGGTTTGTGAAAGTTTTGTGTATTGTATGTTTCTTGATTCACTGTATTTTCTACATATTTCAATAATACCAATAATCCTGATTTTTTTATAATTATTCTTCAATATTTATATATATTTGTATTTTATTTATGCGTTCCCCTGCATTACCAATAATATGAATTTTAAATGTACGTTACCAATAATATGAATTTATTTACTTATAAGAAACAAAGGAAAATAATTGTTTATTCAATAAACAAAAAGCTGTCTTTTGCAGGTTTTAGACTTTGGACTGTTTCATATGTTTATTAAATTAACACATTTGATTTAAGGGTGTAAAACATATAAAGAAAACACAATCAAGGACCCCGATTATTTAAGATGATATCATAAAAAACGTACACAATAAAATTAAATATGATAAAGTAACATAAAGACACGTCGTTTTATTGATTATATTGATATGTCTAAATAAATAAAAAGAAATGTATGATTATCTATAATCGTTGAAGGACCTCCTTGTATACAACATTTTTTGTTTTATTGGTTTGACGACCTTCCTCATCACATATGAGTACCTTCAAGCCTTTTTTACTTGTCACGCGAGATACAGCTACATATAACTGACCATGAGTAAAGACGGGTCTACGTAAATACAATCCAACAGTTGATAATGACTGCCCTTGACTCTTGTTAATGGTCATGGCAAAACAAACAGCTACGGGAAATTGTCTCCGCTGAAAACGGAAGGGGATTCTTTTATCAGACGGAGTTAACTTCATGCGAGGTATATAAGTAGTCTCATTGAAGAATCTACCAGCTATAATGCGTGCCTCAATGACATGTTTTCCAAGCCTAACTATTTGTAACCTTGTACCATTGCATAGACCTTTGGTTTGGTCAATATTACGAAGCAACATGACCGGAACACCTGTTTTTAATGTGAGTTTATGGTTGGGAATTCCAGATGCCTTAAAAGCATTCAGTACATCCGGAGAGTAAACTGATTCCTCAAAACAATCTGCTGACTCTGTCTCACATAAAGAATCCGAACTCAGATAAGTTTTCCCTTCGTCTTTCATCAATCCTAACATGTAGTCATTGATAGCATCAACTTCTTCATTTGTAGGAACCAAAATAGCCTTATCTTGAAAATATGATGGGTCATCAAGATGGTTTTCAAAAGAAGGATAAATGGTCGATACAATTGAATGAATATGGTCACCTGTAGAGCGAATGATAACATCTTCTGGAAATTCAACTTCAGCTTCACCATCATTAGGACCACCAATATTACCTTCATAATTTTAAGAATCCATTCTGCAAATGCTTTTGTCTCATCCAAATCATTAGTTCGACAACCAACCTGAAGCCTCATGTTTACCGTTAAACATAAAACTGTACATTCACTCCATAATCTTGATGAATGTAACGATGCCTGCACAATATCCGAACGATTACCTCTTTGTATTACTGGAAGAATTTGTCTAAAGTCACCTCCAAATACAATGGTCTTGCCGCCAAACGCTTTATTCCTGTCAGATGAACGGATAATGTCTCTAAGTGTCCTATCAAATGCTTCAAAACAATGACGGTGCATCATCGGAGCTTCATCCCAAATGATAAGTCTCGCTTTGTTCAGTAGTGCAGCAAGATCACTGTCTGGCGCGATAGAACAAAATGAAATCTCGGTCAAGTTAATTGGGATAATAAATCTTGAATGCGCTGTCCTACCACCAGGGAGCAATAGTGCTGCAATTCCACTTGAAGCAACGTTGAGAACAATTTCACCTTTGGATCTAATAGCAGCAGACAAGGTCTTCCAAACAAATGTTTTTCCGGTTCCTCCGTAACCATAAAGGAAAAAGACACCACCTTGTTTGTTGTTAACCGCATTCATAATGGTGTGATAAACATTTTTTTGGTCGACATTTAATTTGGAATACAAATCTTGATGCTCAACTTCAATAATAGCAGGATCATAGTTAAGCTCATCTTGAATTAACATATTGCATGACTCTTGAATGTATCTATGATCAGGAAACGGCATATTTGGTATTTGCTTCAAACTCAATCCACAGCTCAATAATGATTTCTCGATGTATGACAACGTAAGGTTGAAAATTGCATCCTCTTTTAACTTCAGGCCTGAAAAAAAAATAAACAACGAAATTAAATATAGTTATAGCTATGTAAATGGCTTATGTTAAGACCTTTATAACGACTATAAATGATGTAATCGCGAGTTGCTTTTTTGTCAGTTTTACATGCATAATGTATAAATGATGGAAAACGAACAATTTTTTGTGAAAATGGAAAAAATAATTGTTGATTATGTTTTATGTCAAATATTTTCATAAAGGTCATTTTTAAGCAATATAGTTCCGTCCAAGGACCATTTGTATATGAACAATAATTGGGTTGTTTTGGAATCAAATTAAAATGTAGGGGAAAACGAAATTTTAGGGCAATTAATACAAATGCAATTCCTGACCATTTAAATATGACCTTTTGTTAATTAGTTTTTATCCGTTTTATTTAAAGTTGAAATTAATTGATTTTCTTTTCAAGAAGAAATTAATTAGTTTGAATAAAAAATAACTATAAATTAGTGTATTTACCTCTGACGCCGATTTCTTGTTCACGAACGTGAATGACATCATCAGAAAGACATTGATATGTCTCTTCAAAAACATGAGCAGGACTTGACAAACTATCAGATGTAATCAACATAACAAAGAGAGACCGGCAGAAAGAAGCTGTGGCCCAATGATGTGTTTCGTTTATTGACGAAATGTACTCTCTATCATCATCTAATAGACCAAGAGCATAGCAAGCATCTTTGTAAGAGTCATGTACAATTCCATTAATTGTCTTGATATCTTCATAGCATGTAGGACCCTTGATTTTGTTCAACAAAATCCGTAGGTAGTAAATGTCACCAGCCTTGGGAGAAACGTGGTTTAATCGACCGAGTGCCTTGGACTTGGTTTTTCTTTTTGTCCATATCTTATCTGATTTATTCCAAACATATTTAGTTGGGAATTCAACGTATGACAACTTCCGTGCATCTTCATCATGCTTGTTACATTCCATCCAAGCTAAAAATTGAGAAGCAGCGACAGTCGGTTTAGAAACAACCTGATTAAGATGTTGGTTTGGTTTAAAAACAACAGGTTGTTTGTGTTCGAGGTGAAATGACAACCTTTCGACAGACGGTGTTCGATAATGAATATCATACCCAAAAAGCCTCCAACATGCCTCACATGCGGAAATATAACGACAGTTATAGAACTCACCAATTTCGTCATGGTCGTTATTTTCTATCTGTTGTTTTTTCTTTTTTGTTGGATCAACAATAGATGCTGTTATCCTATCCGGTCCTTTGTTAATATACTTAAAAAGATACTTTATCGATCCAACTTGGTTACACCACTCTAGATTCATGTGAGCTTGATATTGTTTCAGAAGGATCTTATTATATGGAACAACATTTATGAAAAATCAAGAAAAATGTCATAAACAACATTAAATGATAATTTGAGGTTAACATAGGAAGAACATAAGAAAACATATATAATGAGTAATATGTTTTTATAGATTACATTATCCGTTTAAAAATAAAATATTAGTACCATTTTAATTTAAGTTGTTTATTGATATTTATGTATTTAAACATATAATAATATATTTCATAAAAACAAAACAAATTTAAAGAATTAAAATTTAGTAAATCATTGAAAAGGATTTGTGTATACCTGTTGTCTAAAGAAACACCGTTTTTAAGGACATTATTTCCATCGTTACGTCTCCGGTAAATAGGATAACCATCTTCATCAATATATGTATGATCGGTATATTCCCTTGGAAATCGTTTTGAACATTTGCCTTTTTTCATACACGGCATAAATGGTTGATCGTTGCCACAAGGTCCGTGTATCATGTTATCACAAACAATCTGATACAAATCGGGTTCACTATCCTTGTCTGGCAATTCAGCACATATAACACGGTCTATGTCTTCGGGATTTGGAATTTTAGAATTTTTTTCCAAAAACAGACATACATGACAATATGGCAGGCCCTCTTTTGAAACTCAATCGTATATACAACTGTGTGAGCAAAGAAAGCAACCAGGGTTAAAAGATAAAATTATCGAAAAGTTATAATGTTAATGAGTAAAAAATATATAAGATTGATACCTCCACCGACTTCACCCAAAGTTTTTTCATCCTTCAATTGACTGATTAATGAATCAAATTTAATTTTGAAAATTCGTGTCAGAATATCTGGCCTGTCTTCCGGTTTAAGATTCTCGGCTTCAACAAATCTAATGACTTCTGGCCATTTAGGATTACATGTAAGGGTTAAAAAAAGATCTGGATAACCAAACCACTTAACCAGAGTCATCGCATCTAATTAGTTTTGTTGCATGTAACGGCTGCCGCCAGTAAAAGAAGATGGTATAATAATACGGTTTCCCATCAAAGAAGCATCTTCAATGCCATCTTCAGCTGCCTGGGCCAAGTTGCGATAAGGTGCCACGCGTAATGTTGGCTGGTTAAACCTAATATAACTAAGTCGTTCATTTTCAACCATTGTATACGAATCAACCAAAACTGTTGGAATAGTTTTCTTGAACGTAATATCAATGATATTTCATCGGTTCTCTGTTGTATACGATAAGCAAAAAACTCTCGCATGGTCAACCTTATTCGTCCATCAGATTCTGGATCTTCAACACCACGATGTAGTATATCGACTCGAAATCCATCTTCGGCATAAGGGAATAATAAAGGATATTGAAGTGCAAGATATTGAGGATGCAACTCATTAATACGTTGAAGTTGTCGACTTTGCGTTTCCAATACGATATCCCTTGAATCATACCCATCAATGTCACCTATAATGAGGGCAGCTACCTCATTTGTGGTAGGAAGATTATACTGCCTACCATCATTTTCTCTTGACCCAATCAATTTCAACCTAATACGCTCTGTTGGATTTGAACCAAAGCGATCACGTGCCATTCTAAATTGTTTAGCCAGTGGATTAATGAAATCCAATAAGCCCATCAACTCGTGAATAGTCCAGAACTCAAGAGAAAACGGATTTGCCATGGACTCATTAGATGTGGTCTTTTTCTTCTTATTAGACCTACAATAACATAATAAAAAAAATAATGGATATAAATTTTTTGTAGTAATATATATATATATATATATATATATATATATATATATATATATATATATATATATATATACTAATGGAGTTATATAATATAGGGTATTCACACACTCGCATGATTTGAATCTGTTTTGAACCTCATGATCTGTATCATACATGTACAACTGGCAAAATCTTGGTGATTCACCCTCTTCGGGAAGTAAGCTGCCTGCAATATGATAATTTTGGCCATGCATTCGATAAACATAAGGACCACCTCCTGAGTTAACGGTGTGATCAATCTTTCCAGCCATAGATGTGAATGCGAACATCATATTGTATCGACGTATATTCTGTATAAAGTTTTGACTTTTTTCCGAAAGACCGCTATATAAATCAAGCAACAACTGAGGTGGGTGAATCAGACTGGGTAGTTCAACTTTTCCATTGTAACAACAAATGGAATAACATGTTTTCTTTAAATCCTTATTTCCTCGAATTGCTTCTCCCTGCCACACCTTAGCTTTACATACTGAGCAAACATATACAGCATCTCCAGAATCCAAATAATCTATAAATAAATAAACAAATTTACGAAATTATATTTGTGGTATGCTTTAAATGTAATAGGGTAACGACATTTTATTTGTCATGACAAATAATTTATGGTGTGGATATAACACCTTTGCTTATTCCGATATATTTACTATGATTGTTACCGGTTACATCATTCTGAGCATTTGAAGTAGAAGGAATACATATTTGTGTCTTCTTTTTTGTAGAAATTGGTCTGCCTCTTTTTTTCTTTTCTTTATAGTTAACGCTGGTACCAACTGAAAAATGTGTAACTGTATGTATGAATAAAATATATAATAACACAACTGAATGATGAAGTTGATCATTATTAACAGATAAACGATCAAGTTGAACAATATGGGTACCTGAAGGTTCAACGAAATCTTCATTCAACTCAAAAAATGGAATATCTTGTGTATTAAATTGTTTCCGTTTCGTTGTTGTTGAATGAGTTGTGTTGTGCTGAATTGTATCTTGGTTGTTGGAAAAGTCTGGAGGTAATTCGGTAAACTTTTGAGCAACTCGACAATTAGGGGGTATGAAGAAACTATTTTCTGAAAAATGAAAATTTGTATGATAATTTAGCGAAATATATAAATAAAATATATGAATTTAATACACATAAGCAAATAAAAAAACAAAAAATGCAATACAAAAGAGACATAACATATAACAAAATGTACCTTTGTGAGAATTTCTTTGCATTGTCTGAGATGATGGTGTTTTCAAAGCATTCGATGAAGAGGGTGAATGAACTAAAGAGGAAAAGTATATATAAAACATTAAATTAAATAAGATATTAAAGGAAAAAGATAGTTACCCAAATTAGATATTATAGACCTATATGTATTAAAAAAGATAGTTATACAAATTAGATATTATAGACATATATGTATTAAAAATTAAATGTTAAAAGTTTATATATTGGGAAGTTAAAATTGACGTTATATGATTTAAGAAGTGGATGTAAATATAATATAAAAGAAATTAAGAATACTTTACCTTGATTGGTTAGCTGTGAAAGTGGCGATCTTGAGGAAATAAATGTGGATTGAACATTCGGTTGTATGATGTTATGAGACGGGCTAGCCTTAGGTAATTCGGAAAGGTTTCGAGCAACTCGACAATTAGGTGGTATGAAAAAATTATTTTCTGAAATGAAGATTCGTATCATAAACGGAGGAGAAATATTAAAAAATATTAATAGTACAATAGATAAGCAAATATAAAAACGAAAGTGTAATATGAAAGATGCATAACATATAAGAAAATGTACCTTTGTGGGATATTGTTTGTAATGTTGAATGTGATGATGTTTTTAGAGCATTGGATGAAGATGATGCATTCACTAAGGAACAATGGTATGTATATCAAAAACTCAAAGGAAATATAAAGAGAAATGAGTTATACAAATTGAACATTATAAACATTTAAGCACTTCAAATATAAACAGAATGCTTAAATATGAATCTTACCATTTGTGATGTCAGACAGTGGTGTTGTTGGGGAAGTGTTGTTGGGTGAAACATTAGTAACAAACCTTGTAGGTTTTTTCTTTCCCGAAGCATTTGAAATGTCACTCATTTCAATACGTTTGATAATTTGTACGTTCTTGGTCATATCTCTGTATATATATATAGTGATGATGATGATTTCTAACACTTTAAATAAGGGAACTGGATATTTGAAGGGTTTAAATTTGGTAAAAAATAAATATTGCATATAATTAAATAAAGTAATGAAATATTAGTTGGGTTTAACTTAGGTAATAAATAAAGTCTTCATATAATTATGGAGGGAATAAATGCAGTATAGAAAATTGATTTTGATTACATATTCCATGATTTTATTCTGTTACCATATGAAAACGATGCATATTTATGCAAATAAAATTTAAATTTGACTTTAAAAAATAAAAGTAGGTGGAATATCATATATAATAAAAATATAAATTTTCGTGTATATATATATATATATATATATATATATATATATATTAGGTAACTGAATATTAGAAGGATTTGAATTAGGTAAAAAGTAAAGCATGCATATAATTATGGTAGGAATAAATAAAATATAGAAAAATACATTTTGAATACTTACACTATGATTTTGTTTTGTTACCATATGTAAACGATGTATATTTATGCAAATAAAATTTAAATTCCATTTAGACAAATAAAAGTAGGTGAATTAGCATATATAAAAAAAAATTATTAATTTTCGTATGTGTGTCTGTGTGTGTGTGTATATATATATATATATATATATATATATATATATATATATATATATATATATATATATATAAATTTATAAAATCAAATGATGAACGAAAGAAAAAAGAAAGAAATATGCATTAAATCAAAAGAGTTCAATAACTTGAAATTGTCATAACCTCCAATTCTATCATTGTGTACACACCAAATAAAAACTCAATAAAATTTTAAAAGCAACCAAAAGATCAAAAAACAGACAATTGAAAATGCGACACACAAAAGATTAAAAAGAAAATGTCTATAAACATATCGAAGATGATATGTAAAATTTTGATGGGCGGCTTCATATTAGTCCAACTTTTCCAACTTTGGGATCTTCAAGGTATCCCGTACAGCACGAGTTTTTGAAGAAGACCACTCCAAAGAGTCAGTGTTGGCATCAATCTCAATAGGGCGCTTCCCCGTACTCGATGATGGTGTTACAGCTTCAAGGTCAACAACATCAAGATTGTCATCATGCACAGAATTAGTATTTTCCTGCAGAAAACAGAAAATAATAAATATCGATCAAGAAAAATATAAAACAAAACATAACATATTTGCACAAAGTCATGAAAAATGAAAGAAAAATATATTGAAGAGAGGGCACAGGGTTTGACTTTGGAAATATATGAGATAGTTACCAACCTTATTTGGCTTGTTAATAGGAATACCATTATCATTTATATTATGATGTTGATGATTTGGTGACCGTTTTGTCACCTCAGCAAGAACCCTTTCATCATCAGTTAACTTATGCACAGTGTAAACACGATAGTTGTTCTGCAGATTGAACATGGATATCTGAACTTTGAAGACAAACTTCTTATTTAGAAGAATTTTGAACTCATCAGGTATCTGTTGTCGCCCTTGATCCTAATTTACATTATAAAATGCTTGGAAAAGTTAAAGAAGAAAAATCATATATGTCAATCATTTAAATAACGGAGATATTTTATCAAACCTTAGCTATTTTTTCCATCAACCATTGGTTTCCACGATGAATAAGATCTTTTACATGACGCTCAAACAATACAAACGAAGAAGACCCACTTTCATCTTGCACACGAACTACTATCCTAATCCTAAAAATTATAACATAATACTTATATTTAGCTTGACATACACAATGAAATATATGAAAAAAGTAAAATACATGTATAGTCAAAGAGATAATAATTACTTACTTTCCAAATACATCTGAGACAAATCTACAACCATCACAGTGAAAAGGGCCAGCATCAACATCATCATCATTTTTAGTAACTTTTTTAGAACAATCACAACAAAATGAATACCAACCATCATCCATATCAAAACCAATGATAGTAGCGATAATGGTTAAACCAACTTCCTGTTTCATATATAGGAAAAAAAAAGGAATCATATTAAAATATTATTTCATATCAATTGTACATATAAAATCAAAACAATAATAGAGTGCGGAAACTGTTATATAAAAATGTTAAGTAAACCTCATTAAAATCAGGAATTTCATCAATGTTTTTTATCTGAAAACGGAGGTAGTAATCCTCTGGATTAGCCACAACAGTATCTGAGTTGAGCTGGGATGTACGGCTAGAAGACTCAACATTCGTATCCAAAGCATTAAGACTACATATACAAAAAAGTGAGGTTATTCAACAAAAGTAATGATTTAGTAAGATAAATGTGTTAAGTATGGTAAATAACATACTTTGATTTGAACTCCAAAATCTGAGGCATATCATCATTTATATGCAATCTAGACCCAAACAAACAATTACCAACTTGAGGCTGACTTGCAACAAAAAAGTAAAATAATATTGTCAGTAATTACTTTGAAGTTGAAATGATAATTTGTTGTAAAAAATACTTACCACCCCAAATTTTGAGTTTGGCCAAACGTAGCAGGATAATAACAGGAGCAGTCTCATTATTATGTTGTGAAATGTAAGTATTCAGCTTCATTGCAAAACTGCCCCACAAAGCGACTGCAATTCTCGTACCACTAAATATGCATGGTGGTTATTAATGAAAGATAAATATAAACGGGGGAATGTGTAATAATAATACGAATGTGTACCTTAAATCCTGAGCAACCAGATTCATTAACCTTTTCTCTCTTCCATACTCAACAATGACTCGCATGGGATCAGTTGACACAACTTCACCTAGAAAATCTATGTGAAAAAATGTAATAAATTAGTAATAATAATCCAAATGTGTATTACATTAAAAATTGAAGTATAGAAATAAGTTAAACTAACAACATAACATACCAAATGCAACACGAGTGTCAAAGTTCCTGGCTAGCAAATCTGGGAAAGAGATAAAATGATAAGGATCTACTGTATCAACAAAATCAGTGGATACACGAACTTTTGTGGTTTTGTAGAAATTGATTTTATGTTTATGAGGAACAAGCATGTATTCGCTTTCATTGCTAGCCATAGCGAAGTTACTGATCTCCCGGACAGCTCCTTCATCGAATAGGGATTCAAATACAGGAATAAGATTTTTTTTTATTGTTGCTTGAATTCTACTTCCCTGTAGGTGACAATGAAAGATAAAAAAGTGTAAAAAAAAGTATTAAAAAAAAGGAACAATAAGAGATTTCATTACATAGACTAAAGTTTATTATTAAAAATAATAAAGTTGATTATTAAAATTGTATGAATAGAAGTAAAAAAGCATAACAAAAATCGAATTTAAATTTTTTTGAATAGAAATAACATAAGAATTTGATAATCTAAAAAATAAAGTGTGTAAAAACAGTACCTCCTGGTCAATTAAAATCATGTCCAGGCTTGCGACCATATTAGGATTGTTTATATAGGTCGGCTTCCAAAGCATGACGACTTTAACACGTATGTTCCAAGACTCTTTAGATGCGTTGATTTCAGCAACCTTATCAAAGACGACCTGATCTGCATTGTTAGCTGCCATGGAATACTATTATCTGCAATGGAAGGGGATAATTAGTTAGAGAGAATTTTGATTTGTAATGAAAAATCGTAGACAGTATATTTATAGGGAAAAATAAATTTGGTTAATGCTGATATCACATAAAGATTTTGGAATGTAATATCATTTCAATACTTAAGATATGTTTTATATATGGTATGATATCCAAAATAATATCAATATACCATGTCAAATATAAGTACAAAAATAGATAAAATCATACCATATTTAAGATAATAATTACCATATAAAAAACTGTAAATTTGAAAAGCTTGTAGAATAAGGAAATTATATAATAAATATATAATATTTTCATAAATATGGTATGATATCGAAAATAATATCAATATACCATGTCTAATATATTTACAAAATATAGGGAAATATAAATTTGGTTAATGCTGATATGACATAAAGATTCTGCAATGTAATATCATTTCCATACTTAAAAGATGTTTTATATATGGTATGATATCCAAAATAATATCAGTATACCATGTCAAATATAAGTACACAAATAGATAAAATCATACCATATTTAAGTTAATAATTACCATATAAAAAACTGTAAATTTGAAAAGCTTGTAGAATAAGGAAAAAATATAATAAATATATAATATTTTCATAAATATGGTATGATATCGAAAATAATATCAATATACCATGTGTAATATATTTACAAAATGCCCCTTGTCATAGTTTGTAATTTTAAACTGAAACTTCGACAAAATTACTAAAATGCCCCTGATCGATTTTGGTGATATCAGACCGAAACTTTGCAAGAATTACTAAAACGCCCCTAATCGTATTTGGTGATTTCAGACTGAAACTTTGCCAAAGTTAATAAAATTCCCCTAATCACCTTTTGTAGGCTCCATGTTATTTTTATAGCACAATTTTGACCTGATGCCAAAATTGCCGCATTTTTGTCAATTTGACCTTTCCAAAAACTATCTCATTTTGACCAAAATGTGCTCGCTTTAGTCTATTTTACTTGATATACAAATGTCCATTTAACGGAAATACGTTGCTATAAATTGCTCTGAAAATGCTCTTTTCTGCACAATATTTACGTAATGCCAAAAGTTGCTATAAATTGCTCTTAAAACTATATCATTATGTATATGTGTTTTTGTATGGGTCTTTGTTAGTATTCATAATAATGGCCCTCATCGAATTTGGTGATTTCAGACTGAATGAATGATTATTTACCTGTAAAAGAAGATCATACAACCTCACAAGTTCTTCAGGTTTTGTAACTTTTTCATTTTTTTCATCACATGGTGAGAAACGTCATTCATTTAATGGTGACCTCGTGGTGAGAAACGTCATTATTAAGAGGTGACCTAAGCCAACAATTTTGTATATACTTAAGATGACATTTTATTAAAACGTACTGTCAAGTACAAACTATAGAGTCATGGCACGCCATGACAAATTTTTTAGAACCTTGGTTTATGATGATTAGAGCGGCTTGATTAGTTTTGAAATCGTGAGATATTTAGGGAGGATGTTTATTAACCAAAAAAACTAAAATTTTATTTTCTATTTATTGAGCATGTTTATTTTTAGAATTTTGAGTTGATATTACATTATTACTTATTAGGATCTAGGAATTGCAAATTTTAGTTTTCAATTGCCATATTTAGTAGGGATTACCTGTTTCAGTTAACAATTGACAATTTTAATATTATTTGAGGTAAATAGCTAAATGTTATGTTATTGTTTATTTATTTATTAGGAAATTCCTATTTCCGTTATCTTATTATTATTTGTTATGAAATATGTAACTGTATAATAAGAAACTATTTAACTTATTAATATTTCCTCTTTTAAGTTTCAAGATTAAAGTAATCAAGGTCCAATTAAATAAAACTATAGGCAATTAGGCATGATGTCAAAAGGTTGGCCGAATCAAATAAATCAACTACACCTAAGGTCAATTAAGTAGTTACAGCATCTTAAATTGTCCTATTGAATAGAATAAATTAAGCTATAGCAACAATAACAGTATAGCTTTATAATCATATTTAATACATTACGTATTTATAAATTTAAAAAAATGGGTGGTAAAGTGTTGACAGACCATACATAACAGTTATCAATATTGAGACTCTTTGACATGTGTAATCTAATTTATCTTTTACTCTTTGCAATACTAACAAACAGTTGGTTGCGTTCAACGGTACGTTGCCCTAATACAGCACCTATAGCTGAAAGGGTAAATCGGGAAATCGAAGAATTAGACATACCCTCGGAAGCACTAAAGACTGATAAATGATAACTAACCTTTCAAAATGGAAACGCGAGTTTTGGCATTTGATATTGGAAATTTATGCCCTAGCCAATGAAATTCAGTCATGGATGCAGCTTGTTCAGATCTTGCTTCATCCATAACAACCTGTATTTATAAAAAAAATGAAAAGAATGGAAGAAATAAGATTTGTGTGAAGTTAAAAAGGTATTCAAATTAATAGCATTACCTCGAATTTAGCTTTAAAAAGGTCAAGTGCAGGTCCAGTCTTACTAAGATGTGGGATCATGTCCACGCCAAACATAGTCTGTAATTGTCATGCCTTATGCAGCTGCACCTTTTCTGACAGCATCCACAACAACAGCAAGTGAAGCACCTATAATAAAAGTAAAAGATTTTCTTGTTTCTTTAAATTAATTTATCAAGTAGCATGAAAATGTTTCTGTAAATTCTTTAAATTCACAACAGCTGAAAAATAAAGGACGAATGATTCAAGCATATAATCATTAGTACATGAGACAATTTAGAAATTAAATGCAGGAATATTATTGATCAGCTCCTTGAAATACATGCACTTATATTCTCAAATGCAGGACTACTATTGATTGGTTCTCCTCTTGTCTGACTCATGGTACACCTGTAGTAAAGGAAAGATGGAAAAAATCTATCAGAATGGTTACTTCAAATGCCAACAGAGGAAGGAAGACAATCTGCAGGCTTAAAGGTGGAGGCTTAGTAACTGCATAAAACAAAATTAGTATGGAATCAGAACCGATATACATGGTATTATTTTCTAAACAGTTAATATAATAATATCATATGTTGTCATACCATGGCTATTTTCAAGATAGATGAAAAGAAGCAGTTCAAATGCAATAAGCAAAGGTGTGGCAACAACTGCATGACATGGTTCCCACTGCATAAAAGATAAAGAAAAAGTATTCCCTGATGCATAATGTAAGATATGGAAATGACACAGTTCATAAGGTTTATACAGATTGTTCATACTTATAGTCTTACATATTAAAGTGAATGAAAAATGATGATGAAAAGGAAGAAAAAGAAAGAGATAATACATCACAGACATGGGGAACTGATGGTGCAGGTAATGAGAATCTTCCTCTGGCAACAACAACATGAAATAGGAAAAGTGGGAAGAAAATGACCCTGCATACAACAATAAATCATAATCCACTATGCTTTCATTCTGCAATTCATGCATAAAGGATTGAAAAACCTTCGGCTTTAAGAAACAAAACTCTCTCTTTCAATCTAAAGTCGCATAAGAACTTTGGGTAAACATGTTTAGAGGGGATAATCTAGATAAAAAAGGAGCCAAATCTCGAAGCAAACATAAGTACACAAAAACCCCAATAAGCCTTAATGATATGAATTCAGATACGTGAACAGAAAGTTCAGTAATCAGTACAAAGCTACAATCGGAGCTGATTTCTTAACTAAAGAGATACAATTTGAAGATAGGCTTTTCACTTTACAGGTCTGATTCATTACAAACGTCCATGAAATCACGCCATTATTATAAGTTTGTAAGCATCCATTATTGAAATCGATAGGGTTTGGGGGTTGATTTTGTTAGAGATATGGGACACAGCTGGACAGGAAAGATTCCAAAGCCTTGGTGTGGCATTTTATCGTGGTGCAGATTGTTGTGTTCTTGTGCATGATGTGAATGTGATGAAGTCATTTGAGAGTCTTAATAATTGGAAGGAAGACTTTCTGATCCAGAAAACTTTCCATTTGTTGTTTTGGGAAACAAGATCGATGTTGATGGGTGCAATAACAGAGTGGTAATATGGTCTTTTTGTCATTTTAAATTTAAATTCATCAAGATTCAACTTCCAATACACAAGTAACAAATGGAATGCGAAAACACATTTGTTTAATCTACTTTCTTGTTTTCAGGTGTCGGAGAAGAAAGCAAAAGCATGGTGTGCTTCAAAAGGAAATATTCCTTACTTTGAAACATCTGCTAAAGAAGGGTTTAATGTTGAAGCTGCTAAAGAAGGGTTCAAAATGGAAACGCGGTTAGGGTTTTCAAAATCTTACCTGCATAAAGAACTCGATCTCCTAATCGAGCTTCAACATATTTCATCTGCATCTGAAGTAGAACACACAGGATCGAAAATTGTTGATGGTCGACGTGGTGCCTCTCAAGGCTTCCTGGGGTTACGCATAGGATCGATTCCATATCAGCAGAAGTAGAACGCATAGGATCGATTCCATGTATATATGAAATCAATGGGGTTACGCATATCGGCAGAAGGAAGGGGTTAGGGTTCGTATCTTTTGAGTTTCATGGGGAGCTGATTGTGTTGATTGTGTGGAGAGAAAACATAAGAATGAAATTAGGAATGAATCGTAAGAAGGAAGTTTTATTCGGGAGGCGCGTGTATTTTTTTGGGTCAGGATGATGTCAGCAAAATGATCCTAAGGTGTATAGTAAAGGAGGGAAATGCAATCAAGGGCCCTTGTTTCTTCATTGAAGAATTTAAGGTTTTGTTTTAGTAATATTTAGAGATGAGTAAGTAAATGATCAATGCCAATTTAGCAAGTGAGGTGCGGTTTTTCTCTTTTCTTTGGAATCTTGAACTTCTCCAAATTTGGTAGATCTATCCACCAGAATGGTTGGCGGTATAATCTTAGGCCTGCTTGACCGCCGTGCATCACTTTGTAAATCAAGCTCCTCGTTAGTTCTAGTTCATAGAAAAAAAATTGAATTTCTAACGAATGTAAAGTCAGTTGAAGCTTGAATTTTATGTTTTAATTGGTGAAATTTCGGTTTGGAAAAAAATTATTTTACCTGCTTTCCTAATTTATATTGGTGCTAGATATATTTTCTTGTGTACTGGCCCAAAATTTAATTGTTTTGGATTGGTCAATAATGTGCACTAGGAAATTAAGTTAAGGTGGATCTTTGAATTCTTATCTTCGAACCAAATAATAAGGATATAATTTATTTCATCGAATTACAGAAATTCTGTTTATATTTTCCACTTTTACTATCAATAACTAAAATTTATAACCTACGACTTTTTGCATCATGAAGAACCTACTATGTTTCATTTGTCAAATAAATAAACAAATATGCTTTCTATTAAACCCTCCTAAGGAAAGTCGCCAAGTCTCATCCCCACATTTTCATATCTTAAGACAGCTCAACTCTTATGTACAGATGAGAAGTTGAGCTAACTCTCCCAAATCTAAGAAATTCCTACCAACTCACGTACTTAACACTATTCCCAACATCCCACGTCCACTATATAAATCCAAACGAACACATATACCATTTCAAGCCATCTCGAATTAATTAACTTCTTAGTTTCTTATTTCAAATATCTACCTTTTGCAACACCATGGGACGTTCTCACCTAAATTCCATAATCCTGATTCTTGTTTCGGTCAGCTTAGCATCATTTAGCGGGAACATCATTGCTGAGGCACGTAAACTTGCAGAGATCCCTGACCTTCCCGTGGTTCCTAAGCCTGAGCTTCCCGTGTTTCCAAAGCCTGAGCTTCCCGTGTTTCCGAAGCCTGAGCTTCCGGTGCTTCCTAAGCCTGAGCTTCCTGTCATTCCTAAGCCTGAGATTCCCGTACTTCCTAAACCTGAGCTTCCCGTGCTTCCAAAGCCTGAGCTTCCGGTGCTTCCTAAGCCTGAGCTTCCGGTCGTTCCTAAGCCTGAGCTTCCCGTGCTGCTTAAGCCTGAGGTTCCCGTGGTTCCAAAGCCTGAGATTCCTGTTCTTCCAAAGCCTGAGCTTCCCGTGCTTCCAAAGCCTGAGCTTCCTGAGGTTCCAAAACCTGATGTTCCTGTAGTTCCAAAGCCTGAGGTTCCTGAGTTTCCAAAGCCCACGTTTCCCGTCATTCCGAAGCCCACATTGCCAGAGTTGCCTAAGGATTTTCCTATCCCTTCCGTTACCCATCCATAAAGTAATGCTTTTTGCAAAGTTAGATGTCTATTGATTCACCTTACAACTGCTACTTTTAGTACCTAGATCTCTGTGGAATGCTGATGAAGCTTAGATGATTATTTATTTGTTTTCAGAGTTATATAGTATGGTCATTTATACATGTATTTCATTAAAATATTGATTACAGAATGTGTTTGATTTTTGTATACGAAATGTTGCTCGTAGCAATTAATGTCACAAGCATAAATCGAACCAGGATCCATAAATTAAAGGTCTTCAATTTATAAGCTGAAAACAAATCATGAACAAATATCACCCTTTTCTATAATTAATCAATTTGGAAGGAAAAGGAATGGAAAATGAACATTTATTGGTCACTGAAGTAATTGCACACATTGTTCCTGCAGTGGGATCTATTCACCATGGTGCATCAGGCCCTTCACTCCACCAAAACACTAAATTTAATCATCAAAAATTGAATAGGTTTACAGAATCCGATAAATACTTCAGTCCACAGTTGTGTCAAAAAAATCAAGAGACATATATAAATGTTATTGGCAGGGTAAATGTCTTTATGTGATTCGTCAGGGATTGGTATTCTTTTAAATGCTGCGCTTTTCCTGCAGCACCGTGAACATGATAGTATTTGTTTATCGAATTCCCCATCATCAAAGATCAGTGAGAGGTCGTGGTCAGATGGCATGGCTGCTATGATAAATTTATTTGTCTATACTTTTGGCAATAACATTGACAAGATGCTCAAAACCGACCAAGAGGCATGTTTGAATCAGACTTCACCTAGCAATATGACTAAGTTCAGTCTGCCATCTTACTGTCCTTAGCTGATGAGATGATTTATGAAGTCGCAGATGAAGAAAATGTCTCTATGGTTGACGCTTGAGAGTCTGTACAAGACAAACTCCTTAACGAACAAATTACTATTGAAGCAACGGTTATTCTCTTTACGAATGAAGAAGGTAATGTTCTTGAAGGACCATTTTGACGTGTTACTCCAAGTTGCCGCAAACCTTATGGAAACACTCTGGATAGCCAATAGTAGGTAAACCATCACTCGCATATGGTGATTTTAAAATGGTCTTAAAATATAGTTTTCATCCAAAAATGAGAGTTTAAGTTGTTAAAACATGTGCGGATATGCATTTGGTCCAAATTCAAATTTAGTTTAAAGCATAGCGAGGATATTACAATGGATCTCAAAACATAACTGAAAGTACGATATTACATCTATATCATCTTCTAAATAACCAAGCATCCTTCTTCATCTCTAACACGTCAAAATATAGCATGAGGCGTGAGAATGTCTCGTGAGAATACGCGAGTGCAACTCTTCAAGAGTAAAGGATGATGACAGTCATCTATACTTGGAGTTGAACCTCCAAAATAGTTTAAATCAACAAAACATCCCAATACCCTTAAAGCGGGTTCAAGTAATATCATTGACTTTTGAAAACATATCAACATATTAGTTTCACAATATTAGTAGAAATGCAATGCCTATGATCCTAAACCCAATTTCCATGTCCATCCGACAATATACTACAAGGTTTGTACATCCACATAACATCGTATCGGTTTTACAACCCTCCCTACATAACATGGTATCAGTCATACATGGCTTCGTGGCTAGTACACAACCCACCATGTACAACCTTACCAACATAATAACATACTAGTTGACTTGTGGACCATTGCACATGACCACTCAAAGGGTATCTAACCACTTTACGCATTGTGGTGATTAATATCCATAAATAAAACCACTCACAACGCATAATAATAGATTTTGGTACCTTGGAGTCACCTAGGGAAGGGCTTTTTAACCGAAAAACCAATCCGGAACCGGACGCGAACCGGTTGGAACTGGTTAGTAGTATTTGGTCGGTTCTCGGTTCTTAGTTTACGACTTATTCCACTTATGTTTTTTCGGTTTTAGTTCTGGTCCAGTTCCGTTTCGAACACATTCTTAAATAGCACATTTCTTAGTACGACTGAACGATTGGTTAATGTATTCGATTCTTAATTTATGTCTTATTTGGTTTGTGGGTTTTTCGGGTTCTGGTCCGATTTGTTCCATTTCTGGTCCGATGTGTTCCATTTGCGGTCCATTATACATGCCTAGTGTCACTTCAAGCCCAACCTACCCTAATATGAAATGCACATATAGGATGCTCACAAAATACTTTTAGAAATCTTTCAAAACAGGTTAATTAGATATATTTTCAAAATAGGCTTTCATGATGCAACAAGTACTATGCAACACATAGAATCAAGTTTAAGAAAAATGCCAAAGAGTTACATAGTATGTTTATAGTACATGTGCTCGAATAAATTCACCTTAGTTGTATAGACACTAGCAATTCACTTGCACTACAATTCTTCTTACACCCCCCTACAATACACATGTAGACACTTATTAACTTTCAAACTTCATACACAATGACTTTTTTTAATTTGTCATTACTATAAACCATTTAAATCTTTATTCTTAATTAATCATATTATAATATCCCTTAGGGTGACGCCAAGATACCCCGCCTTCAAAGTACTAATAAACTATTAAAATATTTGAATACAACATTTTAATCTTCTAAGAATTTCTTTGTATTCAAATTAAAAATGATTATTATTATTATTTTGATAAAAAAAATATCCCTAAAAGTAAAGTGTTACAATTACCTCCATCTTAGGACGATCCCGTCCTCGGAATCGCAAGATCTTGAAAAACTTGTGGGTATCTTTTCTTCATTCATAATTCGTTTCCCAAGTAAGATTTGCACCGGTGCGAAGTCTCCATTCAACCGGTACAATATCTATCATCTTTCTTATCAATTTTATAGTCTTTCCATCCACAATTTCCTTTGGTTCCTAAATGAGTCTTTTCTTCTAGTATCTACCTCATCACCCTTCAACTTCGCCAGGTAGCATACGTGAAATACATTATAAATGTCTTCCAATTCTTATTGTAGCCACAACATATAATCTTGTTTCCATATCTTCTCTAGTAGATGGCATGAGAGTGATATAGAGTCTCAGATAACATGATATTTGTAACATCCGGATTCCCAGGTATCCTATTTTAAGTATTTTATATTGAGGAACAGATCTGACCTCAGAAGGTCATTTGAGTGTGAGCATGGAATGAACTCGCCGAGTCCATGAGCAGACTCGACGAGTCGAGTCGGGTTGCCCCGCGACTCGCGACCTGTGACGACCCGTGGAGTATAAGGTTGACTCAGCGAGTCAAGGGAGGACCAGGGGCGTAGAGGGCAGGCGTGTACTCGCCAAGTCACCCTAGTGCACTCGGCGAGTCGGGTCAAAGTTGGCCGTTGACTTTCGTTGACTTTAGGGTTCTGGTCAAGGCTGATTAAGGAGAGTTCAGGGAAGGGTAGAATGGCCTTCTACCCAGTCTGTAGAGATGAGATC